TTCATCATGATCCTATTTGGGTATTGCAGAATATAGAAAAAAATTGACAGGCGATTCTGATGAGCAGAAGTAGGTGCCAGGCGAGTCCAAAAGTGCGCAAAAGAGGACTGAAAATGAACTTCGCTCTGTAAGATTGAAATTCACACACATGTTTAACTAAGGTATTTAGAGCATACATGTGCAATGACAGGCGATTTTTGCCAGCAGAAGTATACCTGACAGACGAGGAAGAAAGTGCGGGTAAGAAGATGAAAATGAAAATTTTGGAAAAAACATGTTCCATCCACTAATGTTAGGTACTTATTTATCTATGACAATTACTGATATTTAATATTCTTCATCATCCGACTCTTCACTGTAGTCCTCATCTGAAATTAAACATACCTATCTGTTGAACTCAAATATGCATTAGTAATATCATAGATCTAAATATACACTAGATCTATGGTAATATTACTCGCCTGTCAGGTACTTCTCGAGAAGGAAAGAGAGAAAGGTGATAGGTAGAGAGTAGAGATGGAGAATTAATTTTATGTAAACATTGATAGGTCGTATCATTTTAATTCGTGTATCATAAAAATTGAACACAATTTTTATTCAACATGAATGGAAATGAAATAAATAAATATCAACTACAATGGAAATTGAGTATCATATTGATAGGAACCAAATGATCTCATACAAACATTCTTATTCAACTACACCATAGAAATTCGACTATAATATTAATACATCACGTACACCATAAAATTGCAATACAAATTTTATTCAGGATGAATGAAAATGCACAAAATATCAAGGACCATGGAAATTGAAGTATAATTTTTATATGCACCAAATAAATTCGTATACAATTTTTATTCATCTTGAATGGAAATTACATCAATTATAATGGTAGGTACAAGACGAATGAAATGGAAATTAGAAATATTATTTACGGAACAAATTTTGTCCGGTATAGTTAATATGAATGCCTTCCATAGGTATATTATTGATAGGTATTTGATGTAAATCACCTATTCGAAGTCGCAAATTTATTGTTTAGAATTAAAATTGGATACAGGACTTCGTACCTATAATAAATAGTAAAACGGCTTTCCATAGTGCGTCCATAAAGTAACGCATAAATTCATTATTGGCTAAATGAACAATAAAATTAGAAATTCCCGAAACAGGTCGATTTTTTATTTCAATTTACTATTGTTTCAAATCATAATCTTATGTACAGGGTGAACCACTTTCGCGTAATGACGTCATCACCATTTTTTTCAAATGGAACCCTCCCTTTTTTTTCAATTTCCAAATTGCCTTTGCTGAGCTGATTCCAAAAATGTATAAAATGTTGCTTCAAATTGGTACAGGGGTTCAATTTGAAAAAAATGGTGATGACGTCATTACACGAAAGTGGTTCACCCTGTATATTAGATTATGATTTGAAACAATAGTAAATTGAAATCAAAAATCGACCTGTTTCGGGAATTTCTAATTTTATTGTTCATTTAGCCAATAATGAATTTATGCGTTACTTTATGGACACACTGTATACTACCTATCCGAGGTCCCCTTATGAAAAATGTGTATTGTATAGTAATTCGCGAAAATCACGAACCAATAGATGGCTCTATTAAACGTCAAATCAACGTCAAATTTCAAACTGAGTATGAACAACAAAAACAACAAAAACATTGCCCGTATGCACTCATTGCAAATTGGTTATTTCGAAATCATTTTGCGAAATAGTGAATAATAAGTTGACTTCGTGAAATATGTACAAGGTTTCCAGAATGTAAAACATTACTTTTGGTGCAGAGAATTTACCATTTTGATGAGGACAATGGTGGAATTCATCATTGCTATCACACTACAATTCCACAGTTTTCAAACATATGGAATGGTCTGAATGGTCCACTCAACACTTGCATGGACTGGAATGGAACCATATAAGCAAACAGCTATCACAACAATATGGTATAGGAACGAAGAAATAATTGAATATCACTGCCTTTTATGAAGGAGATGGGATTCTAGTGAAAGGGTTGGAAAAGAAGATATGGTTGGCGAGGCTGCTCAGAATCATCATTTACATAAACGAGGGTCTCCAGCAATAGAGGACTTGAAATTATTCTCAAGATCGAATCATTGCAACCAACATTTATACAATATGATTCTAATTGTGATTCAGAAAATGAATATTATATTATTATAAGGTAGGTATACTGGTTTCTTCATTGTAAACAATGAAAGTTCATGCAATAATTCTAGTTCTTTCATCAGGAAAAAATGAGGTTCTGGCATATGCACTTCAACAAATAAATTATTTTCAAATAAAACACATAATTATTATGAAACTCAAAACAATGGTCGCCATATTTGTTGTCATTGTTGTTCATACTCGCAAGGCTTGCAAAGTTAGTCACCAGAGGCCGCACACTTCGTGATTTTCGCGAATAGTCCATTGGCATTAATTGATATTTCGAAGCAGCAAATCTTTACATGAGTAAGGTGATGATTATTTATCGAGCAGCTAGTGCTGTTTCTTTGGATTACGAAAATAAATGTACAATGTTCATATACAGGGCTTCAAACCTAGGGAGAATGTAGATCAAAGGATAACCCACCTGCATATGACAGAATTCCCATTATAAAAGTCTTACCGTTTTAACAATTTTTTTTTTCAAATATCCACTACCAAAGTTTTCAATAAAAATATTTCTCACAGCCCCCCTTTGATATGTTCTCAGAATGTTTTAAATGTATACATTAAAATCATTCTTCAGCAATATTTACTGAAAAAATTACCCAAAAAGGTGTTAAATTGTACCAACCCTACAGACAAAACTACTGAAAGGGGCAAAAATTCAATATCTACAACAAACAAAATATCTCGAAAACGGTAAGACTTTTATAATGGGAATTTTGTCATAGCAGGTTGGTTATCCTTTGATTGATTGATATGCTTTATTGTCCAAAGAGTATATCTTATTGACAAAGTTATAATTTCCTAATACTATAAATATATATCTATGATTAAAAAAAAAAACATAGTGTCGAACATTCACACTCACAAAAATAATTATAATTATCACATATTAATATATAGGTATAAGGAGTCTAAAAGTATATTCAAGAAAATAAATGAATGAAACATCAATATCACAGATCTCTAACACATGAAAACAATTAGAAACAGTCATCATAAAATTCTTGTAGGCTATAATACGGCGGTCTTTCACTGAGGAATTCTTTTACGGCGTTTCTGAAATGAGTGATCCGGGGTTTTCAAATAATTTGTTAATAAGTGATTATACATTCTGAGACCATTGTATATCACTGAGTCTTTAACGAGGGATGAGGTGGGTATAGGCAGTCTAAGGTGATTTGTTTGGCGGGTAGCATAATGAGAATTTGGACTAGAGAATTTCATTTTATGTTTATTGATAAGGCAAACCGTTTCTAATATAAAAATGGCATATAGCGTCAAGATTTTATCTTTAATAAATAGAGGCTTGCAAGAAACTCTTGGGTTGACCTTATTCAGGTATCTTATTGCTCTCTTCTGTAAAATAAAAACTGATTTCAAATGAGTATCAGCACGAACTCCCCAGAAAGGTATTCCATATCTCAAGTGAGATTCTATCGAAGAATTATATACAGCTTTGGCTGCAGAAGGTCCTAGTTCACTAGAGATTATCCTAACAGCATAACAACCTGATGACGGTTTTTTATTGAGCATTGCAATGTGGTCTTCGAATTTCAGTTTGTTGTCTATAGATACCCCAAGAAATTTTGTGCATATATATTTATTTGTTGGTGATCACACTGTCGTTCGTACCTAAAGATATATCGTCGATCCTACAACGGAAAGAAACTACATTGGTTTTTGTTATGTTGAATGATAAAAGATTACAATCACACCACTCTTTGATTTTTTCAATGTCTGAACAAATATAATCATGAAGATCAGTCGCATTATTTGCCCGCCATAGAATTGTAGTATCATCCGCGAATAGAGTGAATCTTCCTTTTATATCGATAGAGGTCAGGTCATTTATATATAATAAAAAAAGCATTGGTCCCAATACTGATCCCTGAGGTACTCCGGTATTGATTTCAGCTTCAGCCGATTGAGTTGTAGTTTTAACAATCTGGCTCCTACCTGATATGTATGATTTAAAGTATTTAAACCATTTGTGAGTGTTTTCATGGATACCATAGTAGTGAATTTTATTAAGCAGGTAGGTATTTCGTGATTTACGCAATCGAATGCCTTGGAGATATCACATCTACCATCTACATTACCCTATATACACGTATGTATCTATAGCAATTTATAAACTCAACCAAACTTAAATCAATAAGGATTAACAATTAAATAAAGAATCTTCCCAATTTAAGTGTTAATTCCTAATAGATCAGTTCGTTAATGTGAATTGAAACAAAGAAATAATGTTGTAACAAGTAACACCTGCTGTTACATAATATTGTGCATTTCTAATAGGTATCAAATCTTTTCTCTACATGAATCCACAAACTGTATACCTAGTTGATAGGTTCAACATTCAATAATTCAAGAAAATTGGATAATGCAAAGCAACAAAAACCAAAACCCATCTGTTCAGTAACTTTGGTTTGCCAATGAATGAAAAGAAAGGGAATCAGAGACGCGTTGTCTGGCCTGGCAGGCTTGGCGACAGAATGTCTGGTGTAACCGCTCGCCACGTTGCCACTTCCCCGCATTCCTCAACTTTTACTCGCTTTCCCAGGCTCAAAATTCCATATTTTCGCACATATTAATCTACTTTGTCACTAAGACGCCTATATCAATATAAAAGGTCCAGGAAAATGATCTCATTAGTGAATTATTCGTAGCTGTGAAAAATAGGCAAAAACTATTTTCGTTTGGCAACGCTGTCACGAAACTCGTTTCACAAACGGATGTCGAGCCTCTATACCCGCGAACCTAGCCAAGACCTGCGTTTCCAGTCGGCGCCGTACCGTCTAGTGCTTTTCAGGACGTGAAAGCGCGTGCCCCTCGCTTTGATTCTTTCACGGAATCCACTCCAAATCCCTTTCGATGGCGTGAGTATACAGTTTAGTCAACAGAGTGGGGGTCTTCCGTGAATCGTGACGAAAAATGGTCGCTACATAGCTCGCAGATATCAGTGCTCGGTGTTGTTTTAGTTGGTTATTTTAGATAGTTTTTCCGCAAAAAAAAAATATAGTGCGTTAGCGAGGGCTGAACATGGCCCACGGACTGAATTCTGTGATGCGAAGAGGGGTGGCCAGCGTGAATTGCAAAGGCGAAGGCAAGAGCATCGGATCTCGACGTATCTTCGCCCCCCATTTCAAACTCCAAGTGCTGGACTCGTACCGAAACGACGCAGACTGCAAGGGTAATCAGCGAGCCACCGCCAGAAAATACGGCATCCACAGGCGGCAGATACAAAAGTGGTTGCAAGTCGAGAACACCCTACGCCACAGCGTCAACGGGGCCAAGGAAAAGCCTCAAATCGTCAAAGAGTGCGAGTCCGAGTTGACCTTGAACGGGCTCGGGTTGGCCAGACAGCGCGACGACGAAACAACGGCAGCGTTCGAAGCCAGAGTTCCGGCGCTATCTTCATGCCAACCCCCTCTCCACCCCTCGCTTCCCCTCGACTTCTCGACTCGACCTGCCGCCGCTTCCCCTCCGCCGCTCGACCTCTCCTTCAAAAGGCCTACTTCGATTATCGGCGCACCTGTTCGCTACGCCCCGCCCACCCCTCCCCTCTCTTCGCCTCCTATCGAGCCGCACCCTGACGTTTGGGACTTGTCGACGAAGAATTCCTCTTCCTCTTCTTCTTCTCATTTGAAGCGGAAGAGCTCGAGTCCCGTCGTGTCTCCGAAGCCCGTGAAGCTGTTCAAGCCGTACTTGGACGATTTGAAGGACGAGGAGCCCGAGGGGAAGTTGGAGGCGCCTTGCTGCGTGCCGATGAGGACGGCCTCTTGCGAGGGGTGTTGTTGCGGGAATAATAATGTCGGTGAGGAAGCGGACAGGAGCGGCGAGACGGTGTGGGGTATTGTCAATGTGGAAACAGGTAAGGATGACATGATTAATTAAGGCAATGTAGATTTGAAATAATTGATTGTTGTCAGCCAGAAATTAATCTCCAATCATATTCCCTTTGGAGTTTCATAGATATGTATTTTTTTATTGGAGCTCCTTGAGATTGATTGATCATTTCAACAAGTGGTGGAGAGTAGGGTAAAATTGCCATTATTGATTCTGAACTGAGTAAATGAAGAATTATTTTAGCTGGATCTGAAAAACTCAATTATTTTCTAGAAATTCTTCAATATGGGTAATATTCCTTGGGACTGAATTTAAATAATGGCCTCTGATTCAAAATTTCTCTTGAGTCTTCTATAGGTATAACAGAGGTGTATTTTATTCTGGATTTTATTTTTCAGTTATCTTATTGTTCTCTGTCTTGCTGATGAAGTTATTCCACATTTAATTGAATAGAAATTCACAACCTACTCATCATCATTATCATCTGAATATGAATATTCTAGAAGTATTCTAGCCATAAGAGGATAGAGATAGATGATGTAATGTCCATTGAATACACCTAATTACAAATAAAACATAATCAATATTGTAGTTTCCAAATGCATGTGTATTGGATATTTCTGATTTGATTGACACTGATGAGAAAGTGACAGTTCAATGATTTATTAAATGCAGTAGTTGTTCTTTTTTCCAGTGATTTTCTGTCTTATCCATTTCATGATAGATAAGAAGTGAAAGAATTTTGACTTGGTGCATTTCCATAACATTAGTCATTCCTATTATGGCATGATCTACAATCTCTTGATTTCTCCTATCACTCCATCCTATTTATAATCATGTAATTCATGACATCATCATCAGGTGGCCAAAAATCTCCCTTAGGTCAGCTTGAGTCTCAACCAGATATAAGGATAATATAAAAGCCCTTAATTTGTCAGAATGTTTCTAACAAAAGCTGCAATATTTTTTAATGTTGGTAGAGAACTGATGATCATTTTTATTATCATCAACTATCATGAAAGGTATTTTTTGATAATTTCCTGGAATGTGTTATTTTTTTCATACTGATGAAGTGTCATTCAAGTAAAAGAAAGTCATCTAAAACCGGAATTCTAGACATAGATAAGTAGATATAAATAGGTGGTATAATTTCACCAGGCGAATGGCTCTTCTCTGGATGGAATCTAAGAGCATCAGTGTATGTTTTGGTGCTGAACCCCATATGTGGGAACAGTATTCTAGAACAGGCCGTATCTGCGCTTTGTAGATCATGAGAAGCTGTTGAGGTGTAAAGTAGCTTTTCGCACGGAACAAGAATCCGAGTTTTTGTGAAGCAGCTTTTGCGATGGATCTGACATGATTATCCCATGAAAGAGTGTTGCTGATGGAAATACCGAGCATAGATATGGTGGGCTTGGTGGGGATGGTGGAGCCAGACATTACAATATCGGGCATACTGAGTTCCGCCTTTCTAGAGAAAATGCAGGCTTGAGATTTGGTGGCGTTGAATTCAACTAGGTTGTTTGTTCCCCAGGCTGTGATTTCAGCAAGATCTTCATTGACAGCATTGACCTGCCTGCGCCGTGAGTTCTTAGTTTCCTGGGAAGAAATGGGAATTCTAGAAGAGAACGCAGTATGGAGGGTACTATCATCTGCAAAGCTGTGGATGGGGCAAGTTGTTACTCCCAACAGATCATTGATATGAAGCAGGAATAATGTTGGTGCCAAAATTGATCCTTGTGGAACGCCGGAATTGATGCCAAAGGTATCAGACGATACACCGTCCACCACCACGTGAAGCGATCTGCCTGAAAGAAAACTCGATAAGAGATGGCATAGCTGAGGTGGTAAGCCGTATGATGGAAGTTTGTGGAGGAGTCCTTCGTGCCAAACACGGTCGAATGCTTTCGAAATGTCCAACGCGACAGCTAGAGATTCCCCGTGTTTTTCTATTGAAGATTGCCATAAATGGGTGACGTAGGCAAGTAGATCTCCAGTAGATCTTCGGTGGCGAAAGCCGTATTGTCTATCATTGATGATTCCTGAGCTCTCCAGATATTTGATAAGCTCAATATTGATGGCTTTCTCCATCACTTTGGAGATTACTGATAACAGGGCAATGGGCCTGTAGTTGTTGGGCAGGTTCTTGTTCCCTTTTTTGGGGATTGGTTGGACTCTAGCTGTCTTCCAGCATGATGGAAAAATGCCCGACCTGTACGAGATGGTAAACAACTTGCAGAGAATCGGTGTTAATTCTGGTGCACATTTTTTGAGGATAATGGGTGGAATTCCATCAGGACCGTTAGCCTTATTTGTTTTGAGACCAAGCAAAATTCGTCTGATAGTGCGTTGACGGAAGACGATTTCGGGCATTCGACTCTCAACGGGTGGAATGTCTGGCGGCAGTTTTCCTTGGGAATCTAAAGTAGAGTTTGCTGCGAACATCTCTGCAAAAATATTTGCTTTCTCCTGCGATGCTGTTGCTAATGTGCCGTCGGATTTGGACAGTGGTGGAAATGAACTATTAGTGAAATTTCTTCCGACCGCTTTAGCAAGGGACCAAAACGAACGGGAGCCATTGGGGCAATCTATGAGTTTCGATCTTATCTTGGCATTGTATGTTTCTTTCGAAGCATCTATTGTTTGGCTGCAGTTATTCCTGGCATCAACGTATTCTGCTCTAGTCGCGAGGTTAGGGTTTTTGCGCCAGCGATGGTAGGCTGTTTGTTTCAAGGCAACAGTTCTAGAACAGTTTTTGTTGAACCAGGGTTTCGAAGGTGATGATCTTTTCGAAAAATGAGGTATGTATGTGTCCATTCCGAGCATGATGATGTCGGATATTTCCGCAGCACACTGTGAAGGGTCCTCAGAGTCAAAGCATACTCTATGCCAAGGAAACTCGGAGAAAAACATGCGGAGACCATCCCAATCTCCTGAATTGTAATGCCATATAAGACGTGGGGGTGCCGGAGCAGTTGATGAAATGAAAAATGGGCAGGTTGTGGAGATGAGTGTGTGATCAGAATTGCCAAGTGGAGCTCGTACATCTATGGTGTAGGGTGCTGAATTATTAGTAAGGAATAAGTCAAGTATGTTAGCTGAATGGTTATTGACATCGGGAATTCGTGTGGGTTCTTTGATAAGCTGCTCTAAGCCGTGAGTGATGGCGAAAGCTTCGGCTTGTCGCCCAGCTTCATCCGTTCTGTTAGAGTGTACGAGCCAAGCAGTGTTGTGTACATTGAAATCGCCCATGATGATGATTTCTGCTGCTGGATGGTTCTGTTGGATTTGGTCAAGCTTCAGAGACAAGAATTCGAAGAGCTCTTCATAGGATGGATCATTTGGTGATAAGTAGAGACAAGTAGACGCCACACTCACTCACTCTTTGACATCATTGGAACATCGTAGAAAGGTCGGCGACCTTTCACTTTTCTATCGATACTTCCACGGGAAATGTTCTTCGGAAATCTCTGCTATCATCCCTTCACTAGCAATACCAATCAGACGAACTAGACAAGCCCAGTCAGCACATCCTTTCGTTGTCAACCTCGAAAGATGTCGAACAGCACTTTATCAAGACTCCTTCATCCATAGAACGGCTAGGCTCTGGAATTCATTGCCTGTGGAAGTATTCCCAACAACATATAATCTCCAAAAGTTCAAAAAAAATTCCAATACCTACCTCCTGTCCCTATCCTCCCTAGGAACGCACGATGTTCTTTGAACATTATAGGGATTCCCTTTCGTGCGCTCCAAGCGATAAAAAAAAAAAAAAAAAAATTTACAATCTTTTGATTTATTCTATTAATAAACATGACATCAGTTGGCAGTATCTCATCTAGTTCAGTCTTGTCTCAACCAAAATTATATAGTTGCTGTAGTCATAAATATTTGGTTCCAAACAAAGTTCCTTTGTTTCAAATACAAATTAATACTGAAATCATCTCAGAAACCATTTTCTGTGGTTGGTAAAACTGATGTTGAATATACAAAGCTATCCTCTTGAATTAATCATTTTCTAGACTACATCAATCAATTATTTTCATTATTTCAACTTTATATAGTGCCATTCATAATGTTGGCATAATTTGGGAAAAACTTTCAATTAAAACTTTATCAGAAATTCGACTTGGCCTGAATTTTTGCTTTAGAAAATATGAAAAATGGACTACTTGCTAGGGATCACGTGACATTCTCTACATGTCAAAATTTATATTTTTCCAAATTAATCACTGAAAATATGCTTATATGTTTGAATATCAAGAAAGTTTACTGAGGAAACTTATTTCTATTCAAATTTCACATATTATGTGTCTTGAATTTGATTGATCTATAACAACTTTTGATATTTTTTCAATTGCCATTAAATGTCTGTGATTTTCAAAAACATTTACACAGACAAGACTATCTCATTCTAGTAGCTTTATCAAAATAACAATCTCCACTTCAAATTTCTGTTATGTTTGATGCAAAGTTGATTCATCCACTATTATTCAGGAGCAAAACTTATATAAATTGATTTTTTCTGTACTAAAATGATGCCAAAGCCATCTATCAAAATATCATCAAACTATTTTACATATCTAACCAAAGTTTAGAACAGTTTTGCGAGGAGAAATCAGAAAATATCAAGAACTGAAAGCAATAGAACATTCAAATTGGAGACAATTTGATAAAATCGAATAGAAACAACTTTTCTCAGTAAACTCTTCTGAAATTCGAATCAATAAGCCTATTTTCAGCTAATTTGAAGAAATGTAACTTTTGACATGTACTGTCGATTTATCGGCGAGTTGAACTCTGCCTCTTGTTTCATTGAGACAATAAAAGCATTTATTATTATTATTACTGCCCAAGTCGAATTTCAAAATGAATGATTATCAAAAGTTTTTCCCATATGATGCCAACTTTATGTATGTCACTGTATAGGTAGGTATAGTTTATCCAAAAACAATTGCAGAATCTCGTGCCGCACCTGCAGTCACTTCAAAGGAAACTTCAAACACGCCGACGCCGCACAGTGCGGGATATACTGCAATTGATATTGGATATACTTTACACATGATTTTTCACAAAACTCTTCCCTATTCCAGACGTCAAATCCGAGTACGGCAGCCCCTACACCCTACACGAGCTGCAGCCCGACTCCCCAGTCAACTACTACTACTACCCCCACCACCCGCAAGCCTACGCCCCGCCCTTGGACCTCGACTGCCCGCCCACCTGTTGCTACGAAGACCACCCGCTGGCCTACGCCTGCCCACTACCTACCGTACCGCCCAAACAAAGACAGAGCTACAGCTTGGACTTTAAGCTGCGCGCGATCGAGTCCTACTACAGGGATGACGTGTGCAAGGGCAACCAAAGGGCGGTCGCCTCCAAGTACAACGTCCATCGACGGCAGGTGCAGAAGTGGCTGAAGCAGGCCGAGGAGTTGAGGTTGAGGAACGAGACCATGAAGCAGATACATGCCGTGAGGTGAAGGAACGTGGTGGGAGGTAGAGAGTAAAAGGGGGCGATGAACCGTGGTGGGATTTTGAAAGGAGATCTATCGGGAGTCCCGGGAGTTTCTGGGATTTTTCGGGGGTTGTTTGGAGTTGCAAGAAATTCATTGGGATTTCATAGAACTCTTGAATTTCCCTGGAATGTTCTTGATTACTTAGAATTTCTTGAAACTCCTTGGTATTTCCTAGAATTTCCTGATAACTCCAAGAGTTTCGTGAAATTTAATGGAGTTCTGTGACTTTTTCAAGAATTTTATGAAACTTCCTGATAGTTTTTGAAATTTTTCTGGGATTGTTTGTAGTTCCAAGAAATCCATTGGGATTCCATAGAACTCTTGAATTTCCCTGGAATTTCCTTGATTACTTGGAATTTCTCAAAACTCCTTGGTGTTTCCTAGAATTTCCTGATAATTCCAAGAGATTCTTGAAATTCAATGAAGTTCTGTGACTTTTTTAAGAATTTTATGAAACTTCCTGATAATTTTTGAAATTTTTCGGGGATTTGGAGTTCCAAGAAATCCGTTGGGATTCCATAGAACTCTTGAATTTCCCTGGAATTTCCTTGATTACTTGGAATTTCTTGTAACTCCTTGGTGTTTCCTAGAATTTCCTGATAATTCCAAGAGATTCTTGAAATTCCATTGAATTTCAAGAATTCTCAGAAGTTTTTGAAGTTTTTCGGGGATTGTTTGGAGTTCCAAGAAATTCAATGGGATTCCATAGAACTCATCAATTTCCCTGGAATTTCCTTGATTACTTGAACTTTCTTGAAACTCCTTGGTATTTCCTAGAATTTCCTGATAATTTCAAGAGTTTATTGAAATCCCATGAAACTCTATGACTCTTTCAAGAATTGTATGAAACTCCTAGGAATTCACTTCTAATTCCCTGGAATAACTTGCAATTTCATGGTATTCCATAGACATCTTTGGTATTTCCCAGTATTATCTTGGATTATTTGGAAAGTTTCTGTAATTTTGTGGAATTTTCTAGATTCCTCGTAATTTTTGTTGGACTCCTCGGATTTTCCTCAGAATTTCCTAAAATTCTTGGGAACTCTTCTAGGATTTGAACCTGGTTTGCATAGTTTATTTCATTTAGAATTCCTTGAAATTTCCTGAAATTCCTAAGATTATACAAGGATTGTCAGTAATTTCTTACTGAACTGTATCTGGATTATTTATTTCATCATTTGAAATATCTTGGAGTTATTTGAAATTTCCTGGAAATCCTTGGAATTTCCTAGAAATTTATGAAACATCCAAAATTTTCATGAATTTTTGTGGATTTTGCTAGAATTCCTTTGAGTTTGCCCAAGTGTCCAGGATATTTTTCTGAGAACTGAACCTGCTAAATTTATTCCATAATTTGGAACTCCTTGAAATTTTCCAGAATTCCTTGGATATTTCTACAATTCTCAGCAATACTCTAGAATTATTTTCTGACAGCTAGCTAGTTTATTGATATTGTTTTCAATTTCCTGGGATTCCTTGGATTGTCCTGGAATTCTCAAGAATTCCTCAAAATTTTCTTGGATCCCGTGGAAATTTCCTGGATTTTTTTCCATTCCTTGGATTTTCCTGGAATTCCTTGGAATTTTCACAAATGAATTTTTTTTTATTTCATCATTTGGAGTTACTTGACATCCTGAATTTTTTCATTTCTTGTTCCTAAAATTGTCAGGAATACTCTCAAATTATTTTTTGGAAACTGAATTTTGTTAATTTATTGGTTTGGAATTCCTCGTTTTCATTTTCTAGAATTCTTTGGAATATTCTTGGAGTTCTTTGGGATATCTTGAAGTTAATGTTAAAATTTTCTGCCATGGTTCATCTTGCAGATGAAAAGCTAAGAGTCTATTAGTTTTTAAGTTATAGAACATATCCGACTTATATTTGCCTTATCCTATGAGAATATGGGTGCTAATTTGAACAAAAATTCGTTGCTCAGACAAATAATTGAATGTGCCTTATTGTTAGTTATAAGAAGAGAATGTGCCAAAAACCCAACTAGAGGCAGCTTACCTGAAATTATTATGCAATATTTTTTGGAACTCACTCAAACCGTCTTCCTTACTTTTGCCATATAAGTACACAGTTTTGGTTGAACTGCCAAGCCCTTTATAATTTATTATTTATTTGATAATGTACATTATGTAATTTGGTTTTACTAAAGGGTGTACCTATTATTATTACTAATGACATTGTGGAAGTTTTGCAATTTGATGATGTGATTTTGATCTAACACAATTTTTTTTTTGTAAATATGGATATATAGATATATTGATGTATGCAGATGCATATTGATATATTAACAAGGATTGAATTGTGACCTTACAAGAATGTAGGTTGTGAATATGTATCTGACAAATGTTTTTATCATACTGTATATTATGATTATTTGAATCAGCTGAGCTGATTCCAACAAATCTTTTTATAGATATTGTGTAATTTTATATGAGATATTTTATAGAATATATTAATAAAAATTTGAAGTAATCAAATCATTTCTATTAATAACCATTACACCATTCAACTGATAACATTTTCCTTTGTCTTGACTTGGTTTTACTGAATCAAATTTCAAGATTTTCACATTAAGGAAACTGAATTTCACATGTTCAGGTGAATATAAAGAAAGAGTAAAAACAAATATATTTATTGCAGAAATAAAAATCAGTCATAGTCATGTGAAGGTTAATCCAATTATATCAAAACAAATTTTAGTTTTCCCAAGAACTCCTCAATTATTATAGAAGACAATTCAAAAAAATCTGTTTACTGACTGTCTATATTGATCAAAAATAGGAATGCAATAGTGTTCATGTTCCTTGGAATAAGAGTGATTTTGCAGAAGTGCCTAAATCTTTGGAACCATTCATATCAGGTGATATGTTGAGATTATTGTTTTAGATGATCATTTTCCACAATAATACTGGGTTTATACAGGGTTTCTATAAATGATCGTAACATCGTAGTAGCCGTTGAAATATTTTCTCCAATTGCCGCCTTTCATTTATGGAGATTCACACATTCGAATTTAATTTCTGACATCAATCATTATACTGTCATAGCTGATAAACTCACAATTATCAGTTTTTCGTTAAAATTTTCAAACGACTTCGTGATTGTCGTGTTGAAAAGAGGGATGGCTTATTCCTCGGAGCAGAATACATTTATTGTAATGTCATTCATCTATGGTGGATGGAGTTACTCGGTAGTAGCCTGCAAGGATGAGTACCTGGCGAAATATCCTAATGTACAGATTCAAGAATCTTCTTTGAAAGCCCACATCAGAACAGTGATCAGCAGATTCATCCAAACTGGAAACGTTAATAGAAAGAAATCAACAGGAAGGCCCCAAATATCGGAAGAAGTTGTCGAAAATCTAAGGGCGCGTGTTGAGCAAAATCCCCAAACGTCACATTGAAGAGATTATCTTTACAAGCTGGTGTGCCACTAAGTACATGCCATAAAGTGCTTCAAAAAAGATTGCATATGCACCCTTACAAGACCAGTGTACTACAGCAACTTCTGCCAATAGATATCCCACGTCATCTGGAGTACTGCCAATGGTTCCAAAATAATCTCAACAATGACCAGCTAATGGACCTAACATTTGTCAGCGATGAGGCTTGGTTTCATTTGTCGGGATACGTGAATTCACAAAATTTTAGGTTTTGGAGATCTGAGAATCGCCACAATTTCATTGAGACTCCACTACATTCTCAAAAAATTGGGGTGTGGTTAGCAGTTTCTTGTAGGCGAATATATGGACCGATTTTCTTCAATGAAAGGTACAGACAAGTGATGTTAGAACCATTCATCAATCAACTTGATGATGAAGAAATTCGAGTTGGCTTTTTTCAGCAAGATGGGACCACTGCCCACACCACACGTGCAAATTTAGAATATTTACAAGAATTTTATGACAACCGGGTGATAAGTCGAGGAGTTAATCCTTCTTTTCCAACACGTTCTCCAGATTTAACGCCTTTGGATTTCTGCCTTTTTGGATATTTGAAAGACGAAGTATTCAAGAGAGACAATAATAACCTTGAAGAGCTGCAAGCCTCAATAACACATTGCTGCCAAAATATTGTCCCGCAACCCGCAAATGCTGAGGAACATTTTCGACAACAAACGGCGAAGAGTTTTGAAATGCTTAGAGAAAACGGAGAACATTTTGACCATTTGATGAAGGTTAATGAAATAAACCATTATTTATTACTTCTTTCATAAATATTTTTGATTTGTTCCATTATTTTTCAAACTCCAATATTGGACTCTCCTTTCTTTCAGATACATTTCCATAGTGTATGCAAAACGATATTAAAAAAGACCCCCTATAGGATCACTTCCTCTCTTTTTGGTCGTTAAATGTTGTTAACAGCATTAGAGAAAACGGCAAATTGAAGAAAATGTCAACAGCCACTACGATGTTACGATCTTTTATAGAGACCCTGTAGATTCAATTCAACTAACAATTAGGAATTAACAATTAATAATAATGAGGGTGTTTGAACATATCTGATATTATTTAAGAATTAAATGTAGAATGTCTTGGTTAAAGATTGAAATGATGTTATAAAGTGATTTTAGTCTACATAATTCATGAATCCATAAAAAATATTCCAATTAAGTATCACCAATATCCACTTGAAACATAACAAATCCAATTTTTATGTTCTGTCTCCAGAATTTCCTATATCTTAGTTGTTAAGTTGAAAGTTGGTCAACTTTGTAATTCTTAATTTAAATGTCAGATGTAAATGTATGAACCCTCATAGTTGTTTCCTTGTATTCAACTTTTTGAGTTCATAGTTGTGAGTTTAATTCTTAGTTTAGTTGAATCTATAAACCCAGCATAAAATTATGGAGGCTAATTTTGGTCAGAGAATTTTATTCTGAGATTCACTGTGACCAATCTGGCAATGAGATTTTTTGAATGGTTGGAAAACTTTAGGCTCTTGTGATTTTGCACCTTAAGGAAGGAAAACATTTGAATATAAAAGCTGTAGTGTGGATAGAGAAAAATCTTGGCATTTCAGAATGTTACTGAATTATACAGTTCAAGCTACTACACACAAATGTAAAAAATTATCAGGATAACTCAGATGTTCAGAAAGCCATTGCAGAGGAGTATCCAAAGGAGGTATCAATCCATGTGTTTTTATTTGAACTAAAACAATGATAGCAGTTTTAGAGGTCTCAATTCCTTTTTCATCATTATATGGGATAGATCACAATACTCACTGTTAGTTTGTTCTGGAAACATTTCATTCACCAGGTCTTTCAACTTTTTTTTACAGCCATTGTCTGTAACAGGCTTGATCAATTTTTGTCTATAGCCATCTTCAAAATAGCACCTGAAGGGAATGTATTTGAAATATTCCTGGTCATTGGTGACTTCCATTAATTTCCTGTTCACAGCCCAGAACTGATCAAATTTATCTAGAAAACAATTAGATTAAAATATCATGCTGGTGGTGTTTTGTATTTGTATGTACCATTTTGTAATCCTAGCCATAACTGATTATGATCTTTTTTTTGCATACTACCAGCAATTTGACCTCTATGTTTCAAAACATCTGCTTCTTTGAGACATGCCATAAAGTATGACTCTACCATTTCTCTGAAAACCAAGACCTTTAATTTTTTCAACACAATGTCACTAAAAAATGAAACAAACTCTGGACCAGGAGAAGACAACTCACTTATTAGTGAATTTGTATATCTCAGTCTCCGGAAATTTATCAAAATGGACAGTTAGCTTCCAAGGAAGCATCTCATCTGGATCAAACAATAAGTCGAATAGCACTCCAATTGGATAATGCCATTTCAAGGGCTGTCCATTGTATTCTAGCCACATCTCTTGATCAGATTTTTCACTGTCAATGAACTTGGCAAAATGTTTTCTTACTTTATCTGTCACCAGAGGAAAATAACTCAACCGAGGCACCATCAAGTAAAAAGGATCGGGTTCCCTTACGTCGACTATTTCTTCACTATCCAGACGAAAACATATTGGTAGTTTTCCTTCCCAAATTTCCCGAAGTATCTCCCTATCGTTGGCCATTTCCTCGATAGTAGTTTTTCTTTTCTACTTTTCCAGAACTTCTTATTTCTCCTACTTTTTCGTCATTATTGATATTTGATATTTTATGTTGACGTACGTTGACCTTTTGCTTAGGTCACTGTGTCCGGTTCTTCTTCTTGTCGGACATTAGCCAGAAATGTGCCTGCTTCTTTTTTTTCTCATTTTCTCTATTGTGACACTGCGTTCTGTGGACACACAACAGAATGAACATAACAGCCTAGGCTATCCGGATTTCAAATTTTGGCGTTTCTTATTTTAGGTTATGTTAAGCTCAAGTGTTTACCGTTTTCCAAATCGAAAATTTGATGACTGGGAAACTAGTTTTCTTTTCAAACACAACTCCATATTTATTTTAATATGCCTAGAGTCAAAAATCTGTTGAAAAGTATATCAATATTAAACTGACCATTACATTATAGGCCACTAAAGTGAAGAGTGATAGGAAAAATTCAAACCATGTTTTGTAAATATAATTTAATCATAATATTAGTAGCTGTAGATTTAAAACTCTCTAATTCATTTAGTTTTAATCCAGTATGTTGGTTGTCTGAATGCTGTAATAAGGATTATATACCAGGAGACATTGAAAGTAGGTTATCCAACATTATAACCTAGACTTGTTTGTGGAATGTGGAGTCATGAATTTTAGGGCTACGTACAAGCCTGCGAAGTCGAGTATATGGCCAACACTTAGTTGAAGATGCTGTAGACGCCATATCAGGGCACTGGAACCCTCACCACAGGGCTGAAAAGGCACTAACTCTCAGTTTTCATGGCTGGCCTGGTAGTGGGAAAAATTATGTGACCAAGTTCATAGCAGAAAGTTTGTACAAGGAGGGAATGCACAGTAGTTTTGTGCACAATTTCATTGGAAGGGTACATTTTCCTGAGGAAGAAAAAGTTAAACAGTACAATGTGAGTATTGACTTTGACATTTTATGGATGATTCCCCAATAATTATTTAAGGAAAACCTTGGTATTTGGTTGAAAGGTAACATCAGCCAGTGCCCTAAACAGCTATTCATATTTGATGAAGTGGACAAAATGCCAGCTGATATTCTCAATGCAGTGAAGCCAATGATTGACTACAAGAATATTGTTGATGGAGTGGATTATACTAAAGCTATATTCATTTTTCTATCCAATACTGGTGCAACTATAATCAATGAGCATTATCATAGGTTATGGCATGCTGGCAAGAAGAGGGAAGAATTGAAATTGAATGATTTTGAAAATTTAATTTCCAAAGGAGTCTTCAATGAGAAAGGTTTTTGTAGATGTTTTCTGTGTGTAGATGAGTGTTTGAAGGTGATTTTTATAGGTGGATTCCATCATTCTGATACTATCAGAAGCAATCTTATAGATCACTACATTCCTTTTTTTCCAATGCAAGAATATCATGTTAAAGAATGTATTAAAGACCAGTTTAGAGAACGTCATGTCCATAATCCAAGAGGGTCACATATTCAGTGAGTATTTTTGTTGTTTGATTTGTGATTTCCATGTCCCAATAGAAAATTCCAAATCAGTATCTGATAATAATTGTTTCCTGCTGTATATTCATCAAAGTTGATTTTTTTCTCTTCCAGAGAAGTTATGGACTTTATAGAATGGGGACCTGATGACTCTAAATTGTTCTCTAAAACTGGGTGCAAGAGAATCAGCTCCAAAGTTGCCTTATTGGTAGCTAAACACTATCCCCTTGCATCCAAGCAAGAATTGTGAAAACTAATGTATATTTGTTTCTATTGAATAACCTACATTAATGAAAAATTCAGCTATGGTAACAACATTTGGTCACATTCATTGAGGAAAGTAGCAGTGAAATGCAGGTATTAAGAAATAAAAAGAGATTTATTGTGAAAAAAATGAATGTTTTTGTGATACAATAGTGAGGTAAAAGAATCTGGTACAATATTTTTTTTTTTTTCTATTATTTTATATAATGATCATTTCTCATATTATCTGTATTAAACAATTGGATGTATCTTATATAATTTTGATTTATACATATACAGTGTGACCCACTTAAGACCGGAGCACCCTCATAAAATCTATAGTTTTTGACTGATTTCTTTTTTTTTTTTTTTCGTTTCAGCAGAAGGACTATCCGGAGATCTACGTTTACACAAATTTGCAAAATAAAATTTCAATTTACAGGGCATACTATATTATTTTTTTCATGTTGAAAATTGCGAAATATCATAAGCGATTTTTTTCAAACAAAATCGACCCCACCACTGAATTCAGCATCCTTCAATTGGCAAAGTTATAAAAACATTAATTTTGATTGCTCACTATTTTTTATGAATATTTCAGACAAATTCTGAGAAGCGGCAACATTGTCAACAAAAATGTTTGAAATCATCGAGGTTTCTGGTATACATTTGAATTGATAACACCAATTATTATCGAGTCATAATCTCTAGAATGGTACCCTTTTGGAATGAAGTAATGAAGTCGGGAAAAAAAGCTTTTCATAATAAGTTAATTATCAATGTAAACCAACAATTTCTGAAAGCTCTTGATGTTTTTGGCTTCTGATATTATCTCACTATACAGACTATCCGATTTTCTAACTATGCTTGGATGAACAAGGCCGATTTTTCGACGTTATGGATTTTTCATTTTATGAATCTTTCCATGAATACCAAGATAAATTCCATTTCAGATGTTATAACTGGATAATAATTTGTGTAATCAATTCAAATGTATACCAGAAACCTTGATGATTTCCAACATTTGTGTTGACAATGTTGCCGCTTCTCAGAATTTGTCTGAAATATTCATAAAAAATGGTAAGCAATCAAAATTAATGCTGTTATAACTTTGTTGCCAATTAATCATTCCAGAATTACGTCATTTGATAGGTTGCTGAGGGGCAAACATTGTATTTTGTCAAGATCTGTCATAGAAAACCAGAATTAGTGGGATCGTTTTCCTTGGAATCCGAGTTGGAACCAGAAAGAATTCCATAATTTTGTTTGGTGAAACTGTTATTATATTGTAGATGTGGCAGAGGGACGGCCTGGGCAGTGCTCATCAAAGGTAACCTAACAGATAGTTTGTGTGCCCCTCAAGAAACCATGTCAAAATCACGTGTTCTAGAATGATCAATTGATATTTTTCAATGAAATTTTGCGCTCAACCTAATTGAACGATGCTGAATTCAGTGGTGGGGTCGATTTTTTTTTGAAAAAATCGCTAGCAATTTTCGACATGAAAAAAATAACATAGTATGCCCTGTAGATTGAAACCATATTATGCGAATTTGTGTAATAGGATAGTCCTTCTGCTGAAACAAAACAAAAGAAATTGGTTGAACACTATAGATTTTATAAGGGTGTGCTCTGGTCTTAAGTGGGTCACACTGTAGGTACTTGAACAATATTTAAATGTACAAGTTACTGGCTAACACATTATTATCCTGAATATGACTATTCCTCACTTTTATCTTCAATTTTTTGAGTAGTGACAGTATAGCCCCACTGTTTAAGAAATCTAGTGGTGAAATGTCCATATAAGCAATAAACAAAGTACATTTCCTCATTTTCATATGGATGCAGTAAGTTAAAACACTTGATCCTAGACCAGTCACCAAATTTGGTGGTTCCAACTGTACATATTCTAAAGTATTCCTAGTACTACTGTTAGAGATTATTCTTATAACTGAGGATGGGTGATCCACCAAATCAAAATTTTGGTATTTACATATTGAATCTGTTGTGATGGTGTATATGTTTTCTGCAATAAATATCCAATCTGAAAGTGCTTCTACTATCTGAAATGAAGAAATCAGGGAAAATGAGTATAATAATGACAAATCTCCATAAGCTAATGAACAAATTACCTGGCCAGTGTTGAACTGTTTTTCTTCAAAGAAAGTAACAATATATTTATCATCTCCAACATTGAAGATTTTGATGCCTCCATTTTTCAGTTTGCAGACTGGTTTATTGTCATGGATTATACAACTACTGAATATCTTATTCAGATTGTCTGTTTCGAGGAAAATTAGTGTATCTACTTCCTTTGGAACCTCAGTGTTTCCTTCCCATTCTTGTGGTACCCTGCAAATTAAAATTTAGTTGTCCAGTTGTTGTTGAAGAGTTTTGTAAACAAACTCTACGTATGGTGGAAAGTCTATATCCTCATTCACCAAAGCTCTAGTTGTTGGTTCAACTATTTCTCCAAAAAGACATGAACTCATCTTTATGAAAATATCTAAAATGTAAAATCAAAAAATCATTGGAAAAGTGATGATGATTTTGGTTAAGATTTTCTTCTTCTGTATTTACTGAAGCGGTTAGTGAGGTTGTCACAGAATGGTCGTGGAGTATTGTCACGATGGTTGAAGAGAAAAAGAAGAATGATGACAAGAGACTAGGAAGTGAAGAAGACTTTTTGAGGTTTTATTTTTGTTTTGCATTTGCAACAAGCAACACAAGATTGGATTGAAGATTTTCATAATACAACTCCGGAAGCGAAGCTCAACGTATTTTCTATTGAAGAATTAGTGAAATATGAAAGAAAGAAGTCAAGAAAAGTGTAAATCTGTTCCCAAAGAAGATCTATCTAATCAAGAAGACGATTCTGGTGATGAGGCAGTAAGTATTTTCCATTTTGTTGTTTGTTATATTTGTTTGTGAACTGCAGTGAACATTGTATTAAAAAAACTCTCATATCAACAATGAATTGATATACCTTCTGCAATCCTCGATTTCCATTGCATACAGGATGAAACATCTAGTGTAGGCAGTACTTCAACCACAGATAACACATCTAGGAGTGCTACACCCACAAACAGAACTCGCAAAGGACGTAAGGGTAAAAAACGCATCAGCAACACTCCGAAAATATTGAAACCTATCTACAAATTTTCGTAAGTACCAGCACTAAATTATTTCTCATGTTCCATTTATAAAACAAATGTGTGATCTGCAGTTGCAATATAAAAGAAGACCATGGACAGCCACTATTTGGAGCACAATTCAATCATCATCTCAAAGAAGGCCAACCTTTTATTTTTGCTGCTGTTGGTAGCAATAGAGTTAGCATCTATGAGTGTCCTGAAGGAACTGGTATCAAACTGGTTCAGTGTTATGCAGATCCTGATGTAAGAGTTTCTTCTCCATGATGGTTTTTTTCTACACTTGGATTTTTAGCTTGATGAAAACTTTTACACCTGTGCTTGGTCCTATGATGAAGATTTGGGGAAGCCCCTACTGGCAGTGGCAGGCTCCAGAGGGGTGATTAGAATCTTGAATCCAGCCACAATGAGTTCAATCAGACACTATATTGGCCATGGTCATGCCATCAATGAGCTAAAATTCCACCCAAGTGATCCCAATTTATTGTTATCTGTTTCTAAAGATCACTCTTTGAGGTTATGGAACATAAAGTCTGATGTTTGCATTGCCATATTTGGGGGTGTTGAAGGACATAGAGATGAAGTACTCAGTGCAGTCAGTTTTATTTTATTCAAGGTTTTTCCACTGTTGCTAACTTGTTTTTCCTTTTAGGATTTTGACTTGTTAGGAAATAGAATTATGTCTTGTGGAATGGATCATTCTCTGAAATTGTGGAAATTGAATAAGGACACTATGAAAGAAGCTATTAAACAGTCTTTCCATTGGAATCCAAATCGAAATTCAAGGCCATTTGATTGTTTGAAGGAGAATTTTCCGGATTTCTCTACAAGGGATATACATAGGTTGTTAGGATTTTTCAAAATATCCATTGAATTTTAGACAGGGAGTGAGCAAATTCATATTTTCTTTTAGGAATTATGTTGATTGTGTGAGATGGTTTGGTGATTTTGTACTGAGTAAATCTTGTGAAAATTGCATAGTATGTTGGAAACCTGGTAGGTTAGATGATGAAAACCTTAGAAAAGGAGAGACAAGTTCAACAGTCATCCACAGGTTTGAATATAAGGAATGTGAGATTTGGTTTGTAAGGTTTGCAATGGATTTTTGGCAAAAGGTATGAAAACTATCCCACTATCCATGGTATCTGCCTATAATTCAAATTTTGGTTTCAGATTCTGGCATTAGGCAACCAAACAGGAAAAGTTTTTGTATGGGATTTAGATTTTTCAGATCCAGCACAGGCTAAATGTTATACACTGCATCATCCCAGATGTACTACTGCCATAAGACAGACATCACTCAGTAGAAATGCCAACATTCTTATATGTGTTTGTGATGATGGCACAATTTGGAGATGGGATAAAATAGCTTGATCTGTTAACATTTTATTTATTTATTATCTACAAACACAACAAATAAACTTATTTAAGTCTTAGGTTTTTTCCTTTTCTTTTGGATTTGGTGGTGGAAGTTGTTTCCTCAGCTGCTTCAATACCTGCACTTTTGGTAAACTTGGGCCTGCAAATTTTGCTTTTGTTTCCCTCTCTTGTGGAATGTACACTTCAAATACCCTAACATATTTCAAAATGTTTTCTAAAAAAAACATTTCTGTTTCAATTAATTAATTTTAAATAGTATATCAAATCAGACATAACACGTAACAATGATTTGGAAACAATGAGGTTCTCTTCAAACCCTGGTCAAAACTCAATATTTGTCAAGGATGTCACTTTGTACCGGGTGTACCACTAAGAAAGGACACCGGCTGTATCTCGGAAACTATTTGCCGCACAGGTTTCGGAAAAAAATATGAATGATAAAAGTGGCCAAGAAAAATCTCTGGAAATTAGTTTCAAGTTTCCATGACAGCCGCTAGAGGGCATAATAGCATTGGCCGACTTGAAAAACGGGTTTTTATGAAAATTTGATATATCAAGACATATCAGAAACACTTTTTCCATGTTCTCCAGTTGATTTCCAATCATTTCAATCAAAAAAATTGCGCTAGCTCTTTAAATAAAAGAGAGAGGGAAGGATGAATAGTACTCTGGAAAACCTCTTATTACTACAGTTTGGTGTAAGGGAATTAAGCGATCTCGGTCTCATTATGAAGGGTTTTTTCAGATCTTCCCGATAAATCACGAATTGAGTCGATTTAAATCCCGTGGTGGCCACTAGATGGCATCGTTTGAAAAATCAGCCGATTCGCCATTTTTTTCGAGAATTTCAAATGGAACCATATATTTTTCCTGCTATGATATGAAAGTTGAGTAAACGAGAAGAAAAATGGTGAAAACTGCGAGTTGATGTTGATACCTCTTGAAGAACCGGAGAAATACTCGGGATAATATTAAAATTTAAACTGTTAGCATGTCAAATGCCTCCTCATTCGTTATCGGCATTTTGACGAATAAGCAATCCACAATGAACAGTGAAAACTTTCAATGGAACTTCAATTATATTTTGACGTTCCTTTCATTCAAATTAGCTATGTCATTGAGAGTCTCCTTCACTATTGTGAGATATAACAGCAGTATACAGGATATTTCTGATGATTATTGAATAAGTTAGATTCCTGTGGTGAATATGTTCATAATATTATTTCGAGTATTTCACCGGTTCCTCAAGAGATATCAATTTTCGGTTTTCACCATTTTCCTTCTCGTTTGCTCCACTTTCATATAAGAGTACAATGAATATATGGTTCCATTTGAAATTTTCGAAAAAAATGGAAAATTGTCTGATTTTTTCAAACGTTGCCATCTAGCGGCCACCACAGGATTTAAATCGACTTGATTCGTGATTCATATGGAAGAACCAAAATAACCGTTCATAATGAGACCAAGATCATTGAATTCCGTTACACCAAACTGTAGTAATGAGAGTTTTCACAAAGTACTATTCATCCTTCCCTCCCTCTTTTATTTAAAGAGCTAGTGCAATTTTTTTTATTGAAATGATTGGAAATCAACTCCAGAACAAAAAAAAGTGTTTTTGATATGACTTGATATATCAAATTAACATAAAAACCCGTTTATCAAACTGGCCAATGCAATTACGCCCTCTAGGGGCTGTCCTGGAAACTTGAAAATAATTTCCAGAGATTTTTCTTGGCCACTTTTATCATGGAATATTTTTTTCCATAACCTGTGCGGCAAATAGTTTCCGAGATACAGCCGGCGTCCTTTCTAAAGTGGTTCACCGGGTACAATGAGATCCCTCCCAATATAAAATGTTCTCCAATAATGATATTCAAGAAAAAGTTGAAGAATTTTCTTGAACCTTACCATAGATTACCTTACTAAACTAGACCAAATTGAATAAATGTAAACAAACATATACAAAATGTTTTCCAATATTGTAATAATGTAATCTTTACTGTAATACATGTCATAGTTTAAGGAATGGGTATTTCTTTAAACTGTGTACATGTGGCAGTTTTAGTTTTAAAAAGTGTTTGTTTTTTTGTGTAAAGTTCAAAGTATATGACAGTGCTTGCTGTTGTAGGTTGAATAGCTTGACAATGGTTTATATAGATTAAAAAAAGCAATGTATTGTTTAGGAGAAGAACCTTTAAGATGGAATTTTTTTTTATTGATTCAATAAATATCTCTCTCACTTACTGGCAGTCTCTCCTGGTATTGCCAATTCTTCAGATACTCTTTTTGAGTTATATGCTTTGGGGTCACTCTGATGTTTAGTAATTAACTCCATCACTTTTCCTAAAGTTGTCTTTCCTATGGGGATGTTTTCCGGTTCTTTCACCCCATAGAGAAAGGGGCCCACGTTCGTCCTGTCCATTGGAAGGGGCCTGTTCAGATTGTATTCTTGTTTGATGTTAACATTCGGCTAGAAGTGTGAAAAATATAGTTGATTGTTATCAAGTACCTTTCAAAATATTTTACTTCTCGTGAGGTGACAAAGACTTCTTTCAAATGCTTATCCAACTGTTCATTTTTCTTTAAACTGTCTTGGTAAACTTTGGGAAATTCTGGAAAATTTAAATGGGTATGCATACATTCTATGAGTTGTTGCTAAAAATTCATGAACAAAACCTTTTATCAGTCTCTGCAAATCAGCTTCATCTTTTTCATGTCTGGGTGCAGGTATTGGTTTGGGCTGAGATATAATTTTGTGTGCTCTACTCTCAACATTGAAATTCCTGAAAGGATTGGATATCATAGAAAATGCTTTACCCATGTTTGTTAGGTTATATAATGTTCAGGCGAAAGAGCACAATTTTGTCATCCTTAGGTGTTAGATGTTCATTTGTAAGTAATAAGCCACGCCTCCTTTAAAAATAAAATAAAAAACCTGAGAGATCCCCCAGAGAAAATACAGTAGGACTTTTTAGTTCTGAAAAAAAAATCTTGAAATATTTTCTAACAGTAGCGTGTATCCAGAACCAAAACGTATTTTTTTAAATGTCACTAAATTGAAATATTGAAGGTGAGGTGATGTGGTGATTACTAACAGTTTGAACACATGTTATAGGTTATAGTGTTTTTTTATTTTCAATTATTCGTCTGGATTTCATGTTTTCCTGTTGGTTTTTCGAAAATATTTCAAGATGTGATTGATTTATTTGTATGAATGTTATCATGATACGCCTATGACCTTTGCTTTGTGGAATGCTGAAGTGTTGCCAACCAGAACATGTAACATGTTGTCAAAATGGTGCAAGGAAAATCACTTCTTTAATAACCACTATGAAAATGGAATTCTTATTCCCAGAGCATTTCAAAAATCTATATTAGATCATCTGAATTATTTCATTAAACATCAATAAGTAATTTCCGCAGGAAGTTTACGATTATAATTTATATTTTTGGTTTTCTTAAGTTGGCAGATTCTGGAATTTGACACTGTGTAAGATGGCTGACAAGTGATTCCTAAACCTCACACAATTTTCTTTGTTTTCATTGAAGTTTTTGGTTATTTTAGTGCTCTAAAAAACAAATTATGATTCAATGTTTAATTGGTGAATAGCTAATTTATTACATGAAGCGAAATAAAACATTGCAGGAGCCAGGAGAGTTCGAAAGAAGTGTTTAAAGTGCTGTGGAATTTCACCATATAGTAGATGAGAGATGGACTTGACACTAAAATCTGTCATTTCTTAAAAGTTCAGCAAATACAAATTCCTTTTGCATATATTGAAGGTAATTATCCAAGGAATACAATATTTTGCTCAGTTTGATCAAAAAATGATTTTGTAAGATTGCCCTCAAAGATGTCTCAATGCCAAAGAATGTGAAGTGGTATGCTGAGTTGGATGAGACATGGCATTGCAATTTGGCACATACCTAGTATTAAACTAGAGCTATGACCAAGAAGATCTGATACTACTACTTCAAGTTTCTTCATCATTTAACTGCAAATTAGAATAATTTTTTTTTACTGATTTGATCTTGATATCAATGTAAATAATTTCAAATTATAGTAAGTATACCTACCTTCATCATGTAGAAATAGTAAAATAATATTGCTATCAGTATTTTTTAGTATATTTTTAGTTGCTCCTTCTGAAGAAGTTGATACATACCTATTTTCTGATTGACAAAAATACCTTTTCCTAATTCATTTATTAATTTACAGGGTTGAAAATTTCAAATTCAATAATAATTACAAAGAATGAATATTCTAACATCTATAATAATTCCAATTTCCTTCAGGGAAAACCTTTATCAATGATTTTATTTCCTTGAAGTTGATCAACTTCTCATAATAATATTAATTAGCTATTACAAGTATCAACAGGTACATTTCAACCACTTTATGAATTTGAACTGAATTGAAACTCCAGACACTATCACCAAAATTATAATCTATTCCTTCAACAAAAATGTAAGTTGAGTTAGTTTCCTCTTTGAAAAAACAATTTGGTTCTGTAGATATGTAATTTTCAGAAGATACATTTGTTTACTATTTATCTGTAATTTGAAAGAATTTGTATCCACTATGCCCTTCATACATGATATGAGAGCTGATAGTGAAACCTACTTTCAGGTTATATTGTATAGAAAAAAAAAATTCTCTGATTCCTACATCAATCATTAAAACATAATAAAAGGATTTTATTGGCTACTCAATGGGCTTAGACATTGATATTTTTCCAGTTATTCAGTAACTTTGTTTTGAACAAGACTTCCAGTGATTTCAAGAGACATCCAATAACATCTGAGTATTCCAATACATTTCCAAGGTTACCATTAACTTTCAATTACATTGAGTGGCTTACAAAGGCTTCCAATGACTGTCAAAGATTCTACTGATGTAACATCATATACTTCCAAATGCTTTCTGGGAGTATCAAAGATTTCCAGTGATTCTTGAATATTGAAATTTCAATAATTTATAATTTTTCCTAAAGATGTTCAATGACGATTTTTCAAAGTCGTCTGAAGATGGTGATACAAATTCAATTAATCAGACATTATCCAGGAAACATGTTTCTTATGACTTTCAAAGACTTCCTATCCTTTCAATCCTTCCAGAGGCTTCCTAGAACTTCCAAAGATTTCCAAAGGCTTCTGAAGCCTTCCAAATGCTCCCAAACACTACTAATGACTTCCAAGACCTCAAATGACTTCCAAAGGTTTCCAATGACGTTCTTATCACTTTCAAAAGCTTTCAAAGACTTCCAGAATAGTTCAAACACTACTAATGACTTTAAAGCTGCCAAAGACTTTAAAATACTTCCGAATATTAACAATGAATTCCAGGGACCTCTAAGTTAACTAACTTCCAGAAGCTCTCAAAGACTTCTAGAGACGACCAAACACTAATCATGACTTCCAATGGTGCCCAATGGCTTTCAAAGATTGTATTGTCATTTCCAAAGGCTTTCAAAGATGTTCAGAGATGACCAAACACTAATTATGACTCCCAGAGACCTCGACTAATGTCTTCCAAACACTTCTCAAAACATCAAATAACTTTCAAATGTTTCCAGTTGCTTTAAGGGAATTCTTTGTCATTTTCAAAGGTTTCCAAATAGTTTCAGAGATGACCAAACACTAATCATGACTTCCAGAGAGACTTCAAAATACTTCCAAAGGTTTCCAATTACTTTCAGAGACTTCTTATCACTTCCAAATGCTCTCCAAGATTTCCAGAGACTACCAAACACTAATTATGACTTTCAGAAACTTCTGAATACTTCCTGATGTTTCCAATCACTTTAAAAGACTTCTTAGTCATGTCCAAATGCTTTCAAAGAGTTTTAGAGATGACCATACACTAATCATGACTTCCAGAGACTTCAAAATACTTCCAGAGATTTCCAATTACTTTCAGAGACTTCCTATCACTTCCAAATGCTCTCCAAGATTTTCAGAGACTACCAAACACTAATCATGACTTTCAGAGACATTTGAATACTTCCAATAGTGCCAATGGCTTCCAACGATTGCTTTGTCATTTCTGAAGGAGGCGTTCAAAGATGTTCAGAGATCACCAAACACTAATTATGACTTCCAGAGCCTTCGAAATACTTCCGAAGGTTTCCACTGACTTTCAAAGACTTTGTATCCTTTCAGAACCTCCCAAAGACTTCCAAAGGCTCTCAAAGGCGACTTCAAATCACTTCCGAAGATTTCCAATGACGTTCAATACTTCTCATCCCTTTCAAATGTTTTCAAAAACTTCCTGAAACCTCCAATGGCTCTCAAAGGCGATTTCCGAAAACTAAAAATGACTTCCGAGGGTTTCCAATGACTTTCAAAGACTTCTTATCACTTCCAAAAGCTTTCATATACTAACAGAGACATTCAAACACCACTAATGACTTCCAAACGCTTCTCATAACATCAAATAACTCTCGAATGTTTCCAGTTGCTTTAAGGGAATTCTTTGTTATTTTCAAAGGCTTCCAAAAAGTTTCAAAGATGACCAAACACTAATGACTTCCAGAGACTTCAAAATACTTCCGAAGATTTCAATTACTTTCAGAGACTTCTTATTACTTCCAAATGCTCTCAAAGATTTCCAGAGACTACCAAACACTAATCATGACTTTCAGAAACTTCTGAATACTTCCTGAGGTTTCCAATCACATTAAGAGACTTCTTAGTCATTTCCAAAGGCTATCAAAGACTTTCAGAGATGACCAAACACAATTATGACTTCCAGAGACTTGGAAATATCTTCGAAGGTTTCCATTGACGTTCAAAGACGTCTTATCATTCCCGAAAGCTTCAAAAAACTACCAGAGGTTTTCGAAGACTTCTTATCACTTCCAAAGGCTTTCATAGAGTACCAGAGGCATTCAAACACCGCTAATGACTTTTAAACACTTTCCAAAACATCAAGTAACTTCCGAATGTTTCCAGTTGCATTAAGGGAATTCTTTGTCATTTTCAAAGGTTTCCAAGTGACCAAACACTAATCATGACTTCCAGAGATTTCAAAATACCTTCAAAGATTTCCAATTATTTTCAAAGACTTCTTATCATTCCAAATGCTCTCAAAGATTTCCAGAGACTACCAAACACTTATCATGACTTTCAGAAACTTCTGAATACTTCCTGGGGATTCCAATCACTTTAAAAGACTTCTCACTCATTTCCAAAGGCTTTCAAAGAGCTTCAGAGATGACCAAACACTAATCATGACTTCCAGAGACTTTTGAATACTTCCTGAGGTTTCCAATCACTTTAAAAGACTTCTTAGTCATTTCCAAAGACTTTCAGAGATGATCAAACACTAATTATGACTTCCAGAGACTTGGAAATACCTTCGAAGATTTCCATTGACGTTAAAAGACATCTTATCATTTCCAAATGCTCTAGCACCAGAAGGCCACGTAGGAAATCCAGAATTCTTGAGGCCTTTTGCGAAGAGCGAGGCGATGAATTACAATTTGATTTGACCAATACTTTCAAAGAATTTGAACGACTTCCGAAGGTCCCCAATGACGTTCAAAGACTTTTTATCGCTTCCAAAGGCTTTCATGGACTACCAGATGCATTCAAACATCGCTAATGACTTCCAAACACTTCCCAAAACATCAAATAATTCCGAATGTGTCCAGTTGCTTTGAGGAAATCCTTTGTCATTTTCAAAGGTTTCCAAGTGACCAAACAATAATCATGACTTCCTGAGATTTCAAAATACCTCCAATGATTTCCAATTACTTTCAAAGACTTCTTATCATTCCAAATGCTCTCAAAGATTTCCAAAGATTACCAAACACTAATAATGGCTTTCAGAGACTTCTGAATACTGCCTGAGGTTTCCAATCACTTCAAAAGACTTCTTACTCATTTCCAAAGGCTTTCAAAGACTTCCAGAGAAGACCAAACACTAATCATGACATCCAGAGATTTCAAAATACCTCCAAAGATTTCCAATTACTTTCAAAGACTTCTTATCATTCCAAATGCTCTCAAAGATTTCCAGAGACTACCAAACACTTATCATGACTTTCAGAAACTTCTGAATACTTCCTGAGATTTCCAATCACTTTAAAATACTTCTTACTCATTTCCAAAGGCTTTCAAAGAGTTTCAGAGAGGACCAAACATTCATCATGACTTCCAGAGACTTCCTGAGGTTTCCAATCACTTTAAAAGACTTTTTAGTCATTTCCAAAGACTTTCAGAGATGACCAAACACTAATTATGACTTCCAGAGACTTGGAAATACCTTCGAAGGTTTCCATTGACGTTCAAAGACATCACTTCCAAATGCTCTAAAAGAGTTCCAGAGGTTTTTAAAGACTTCGTTGAAACGCTAAGAACCGACGTTTGACGTTTGCAGTCCAACTTACCGACGGAAAAGATCAAACAGTTTTCCCCCGATGTGACCGCCCTCCATTATGGGCCAGCAGCCCCACCTCCACCGCCTCCTCAACATGATGAACGGCAACGCCAATGCGAGCGCCCCCTCGGCGCGCTCGCCGGGCTACCACCAGAAGGCCATGGAGGAGATCCAAAATTCTTTGAGGCCTTTTGCGAAGAGCGAGGCGATGAGCAGCAGCGCGGCCAGTACGGTGAGCAGTTTTTCGGCGACGAGTGGGGTTAGTTCGTCGAGCAACGCGTCGGAGAAGGACGTGATGCAGCTGAGGCAGATGGGGTATTCGGAGGTGAGTAATGGGGAGGAGAGATTGATTTTTTTCAACCACCCTTTTAGCTTCACCTATACTTCAACAAAATGGCAGCTCCAAAATGGCGGACGAGTTTTGTTTTTATGATTCTTTTCAAAATTGGTATCTAGGGGTTTTCAAGGTCGAAGATTTAGATTTTCTCGTCAAAATTGGTAAATTCAAGATGGCTGATCCAATATAGCGGACTAGTTTTGTGATTCTGTTCTGGTTCTATCCCAAATTGGTATCTAAGAGTTTTTGAGGTCAAGAGAATACGGTTCCTTTTTCAAAATTGCTAAATTCAAGATGGCGGATCCAATATGGCGGACGAGTTCTGTAATTATGATCCGAATAATATAAAAATTTGTATCTGGGGGTTTTCGGGGTCGCTGATCATGATTCTTTCGTCAAAATTTGAGAATTCAAGATGGCGGATGAGTTTTGTAATTATGTTCTGATTTTATCCAAAATTGCTATCTGTGGGTTTTTGAGGTCGGAGATTACGATTCTTTCGTAAAAATTCGACAATTCAAGATGGAGGATCCAATATGGCGGACTGGTTTTTGTAATTATGATCCGAATATGTACAAAATTTGTATATGTAAGTTTTCGGAGTCGGAGATTATGATTCTTCCGTCAAAATTTGAAAATTCAAGATTGCGGATCTAATAAAGCGGACGAATGTTGTGATTATGATCCGATTATATTCAAAATTGGTATCTAGGGGTTTTTCTTGGTTGGAGATTGTGATTTTTTCGTTGAAATTGGCAAATTCAAGATGGCGGATCCAGTATGGTGGACTAGTTTTGGAAATTGTATAATCCGATTTGAATCAAAATTGATATCTAACGGTTTTCAGGAACAAAGATTATAATTATTTTGTTAAACTTGAAGAATTCAATATGGCGGATACAATATGATGGAAGAGTTCTTTAATCAGGATCCGATTATAAGTTTTAAAAATTTGTATCTGGGGTTTTCGGTGTCGGAGATTATGATTTTGTCGTCAAAATTGGTTAATTACAAAAAATATAAAAACACTAAAACACGCTTTTGTAGTTATCTGAACTGAAAAATAGTAAATAAAAAGTAGTTTAAGAAACTAAAGAAACACCTTTTCATAATAGTGTAAACTTGATAAATACACAACATGGAATGTACCGATTACCGAGGTGCTGATATTGTCTATGTGGTGTATTCGTCAACACACTTTTATTATCATTTTATGTTCTACTTCTTTTTAGTTAGGCTATACAATATAAAAAGGTGTTTCTTTAGTTTTTCAAACAACTTCTTTTTCGTATGCCTTTTGAATTGGACGGTATTCATGGAACGTAGTGCGAACCTAGCGAGGGGGCCAAATTAATAAATTAGTTAATTTTGTTCATGAGGATTCCAAATCTATACATATTCTTTGTCCTAGATCCAAAGGATAACAAAGTTGCATATTTTGGTTAATTTTGCATTGAAAATCATCTAGGCGCACGTGGAATGTCGCGAAGATTCAGAATCCACACATATTTTTTAACTATATGCAAAGGATAACAAAGTTGCATATTTCTCGCGGCAGATTGAAAAAATGGTTAATTTTGCATTGAAAACCATCCAGGCATACGTGAAATATCACGAGGATTCCGAATCTATACATATTTTTCTCTATACAAGGTTTATTTTGAATAACCACGGTAAACCACGAGACGTCTTGTTCAAAAAAAAAATCCTCTGACGAGTACAATCAACAGCAGATAGGTACCACACACATTTACACTAATATATTATCTTGCTGTTGAATTTCATCCGCATACAACGTAAAATTATTTATTCACTGCGTTGGATATCTTGGTCGTTTTTACTATGTTCAATGTTCTCGAGTCTTTTCGAATTCAACCAAAAGTTGGTATTAGCTTAGATGGCAGCAGATTCAACATATGAGAAGTACGACTACCAGTGGCGTGGGTATTAATCAACAATAAGGTTTTACGCATAACGTAACATGCAATAAATGCATTATTGTATTATCATAATACGTATATGCTCACAGAAAAGACACCATGTCAGAATTCTGTAGACTATCGCAACACCTGTATTTCTACGTAGGGGTCTATATGCACGACTTACTCGCAAGGTATGATTGATGAATCTACCTATACACCTTTGCACTTAACCTTCCTGCAGTCGCACGCGGAGTATCACTCCGCACGAATATAAAACGTGAGTTTTCTTGAATATACTTCATTCCCTCATTCCGCCGCACTCAGTACCTACCTAAAATGACGATTTCAGTACGAATCGAGTATTACCGATGTGCAAAATTGCTTCGTTTTCGAATTTTATAGCGTAGTGCGGAGTCGTACTCCGCAGCGACCTTAGACGTCTTAGTTCAATTGCATATTGCAGTTACACTTTGCAGCTATTTTGGGCGTTCTAGGCAAAAATTTTGTCTCATTTGATGAATGATATTTCATAAAATACCGTTTTGTAAACACACATAATCGATGCTACTGTGATATGAAAGAATACACACCCAATTTCATTGTAGTACATGTGAAGAATTCATGTGCTTATTAGAACCAGCTTTAATCATTTGCAGAAATTGCCGATGAATCATTGGTGGTTTCAGATTGAAATATTTTCAGGTTGTTCTCAAATTATAGTGTTTTTGTTCAAATTCTATTTATCAAATCTTCGATAGTTGTCCTATGGTAATCTTGGGTTTTGTTATTGAACAAATATATTTTTATTGCAATTTTGACATTTCACTTCGTAGAGATATTCATGTCCAAAGGCATACTGATGAAATCTTTGGAAAAATGCAAGTCATCATGTTCAAACCACCCGAATTATCCATTGCGGAGTCAGACTCCGCAGCGATAGCCTATGTCCTTTTTAAGGCGCGACTACTGAAAGGTTAAGCCACTAGATGGCTGTGAAGGCTAGATCGTCCTTCTGCCCTCTCAGGGCTTCGACTTATTATTATTTCCTCTGTTAAGGAATCGTCGATCCGCGCCCTCCAACTGTCCAACGGCCGCCTCGATATCGCCCTCGACCTCCTCGCGGGCGGCAAACAGTCATCGCTGGACGGCAAACCCTCCTCGGGCGGCTACACGAAGCTCATCCGCAAGCCGAGCATCGAGCGGGAATTGGCGATGATGGCGCGCGCCTCGCCCGCCCTGGACAGCGGGGCGGGCAGCTCGAGGTCGGACAGCCCGCGGCTGGGGCCCGACATACACACCAGGTGAGAGTTAGGATATACAGGGTGTACACCAGTTAGAGAGCTGAACGAAAATATGTATCATCACCCTCTATTGCATATTTATTCATGTGGTCGGTAGCTGGTACAATTATTGAAACACGCACTATCTCAACTAACTATATTCAAACAGCACAGGCACTTTCCGTAAAACAATAATAACGACCATAATAATGATCACCTATGTATCATCCTTACCTCACCATTACTCATCTTTGTGGATGACCGTCTACATTTATTACTTTATTTTATTAATCAAACATATCTTCCAGTCAGAACAAGTTCTGGTATGAGGGAGAACATAATTATGAAATAATCGGTATTGAATATCTATGAACTAGGGTCCCTTGATGGAAATTGACGTTAAAGTCATATAACAGGGTACGGACAGATCATAGCTGCATTCTTTTTTAATGATCTAGAGACTTTAGTTTTGTCTACTGGCATCCCTGACATTGCTGTCACGTCACATCCATGGGCGCTACAGAAAATCATTCAAAATTTCAATAATACGTATGTACAGGGTATCTACTTATTGAAGAAATTCTATTGGCAAACAAGATTTATATAGAAGATCCGATTCTATTCAAAATTGATATCTGGGGGTTTTCGGGGTAGGAGATAATGATTGTTTCGTCAAAATTGGGAAATCCAAGATGACGGATCCAATATGGCGAAAGACATTAGTTTATATATAATTATTACTCTACCACAAATGGAAAATATGTAGGATTCAAGTGTGAAAATAACGTGCCTATAAGTTATACTGCGTATACCTACTTGTTTGTTACTTTCATCAATAAATTATTGGAAATGACTTTTTATTTGAGGGAGACGGAAGAATCATTTGTATAACATGGGGGTGAAGTAAATTCTATTCTTTATTTCCCTGCACAATTTACGTATTACTTTTTATCAGCCTACTTTTCGTCCTAGACGAAGTTTTATACATAGTGTGATATTATTCACTCCATAAATTCTTCGCCGAGTTGGATTTCCGAAAATATATTTAGCACACATTACATGAGTACAGTAGCTTAGATACTCACATCGAGGTTTTCACCATTTCTCAATCATAAGGCTCAGCTCATCCAGCTCATAGATAAACTACTGCTCAGTTTGAAATCAGAATTCATTCAGTCAATTCTGTCAACCCTGATGGTATACAGTCTGAGTACAGTCTCTTTTGGTGGAATTTATTAAGCATGTTCCCTACCTCGCGAAGATTATGCTGGAGTAGTAAACTCTGGAACTAGAGGATTTTTCATCCATATCTTGGTATAGTTTGAATCAGGAATTCCATATGTAAATTACGTATGATACGCCAGTGACCTCAATATAACCTAAAAAACAACAAATGTCAAAAATCTAGTGTTTTTCCCCAGAATTGAATAAGGATGGAACTATATTACTGTTTCACAAACACTTTAGAGTGAGAGGAGACGAGGATCTGTCCGTACCCTGTTAAGATGACTTTAACGTCAATTTCCATCAAGGGACCCTACTATGAACTACTACATAAACATGAGTAGAAGTGAACATGAATAATAAATCATAATTAATCAGGATATCACAATGAATCACAATGAAACAAAACAATACAAGGGAAAAAAGTAGTAGATTTCAGCTGCAGGTTGTGTTGTCTCCCGACATGTAGCGGAGGGAGACAAAAAACCGTGAGCTAAAATCTAATATGCCGTGTATAATACACTTTTTTTTCTGTGACAGAAGAAAGGACGAATCAATATTGAGAAAATATTACAATATTTTGAAATCTGAAAATTATCGACGTGAAATTTTAAGTTTTTAACAGTAGGGACACCTGTATTGTAGGAATCTTTATCATTCTTTTGAAGTAATCAAATTTGTGATGTCACTTCTTTCAGTCTAATTCAGTGATTTGATTTGAAAAAATTGCGAATTTAGTGAGTTGCTTATTCGAGAGAACGGCCGTTTCCCTTCCAGTTGTTTATATTCAGTTCTTTGTGTATGAATGACTCCATAGTTGTAGATAAATAAATAAATAAATAAATAGTTTGGACTTTTCTCGCCATGAAAATAGAATGTTGTTCTCCACCAGATACTCGCCGAGCTTCAACGAACCTCCGCCGCCGCCCCCGCCGCGCACCACTCCCCCACCCCCGCCGCCCCACCACCAGCCGGTGCCGAGCAACGTGCAGCAGATGTTCAAGCGGATGTCGCCTGCGCAGGCGCCCGCCGTGCCTCAGAGGCCGCCCAACGTCGGGGCGTACGGCTCGCCGGCCTTGCAACAGGTACGTACACGCATATTGAACGGGTATGAACTCCAAATATAAAAACTTCAAAATAAAAAGGCGCGAATAACTTCCCCCTACCTCGAACCTCGTGAATGTCGGTGTGGCCCGTCTCAGTGAATGTGGTAAAACAGGCTATTTTGTTCCGGCTGGTAGGCACTCACTTTTAGCAACCGAATCCTGTATGATCCCGGTTCCGTGTGTATGACTGAAAGTAGATAACACAAAAAATATAGCGGGTTTTAGCACCAAGAAAACCACTGTCCTTTTCATACACACAGAAAAATAGATATGGCTGCCTTTTCACACCGGTACCACCTGTGCTCGTTGATTCAAGCCTCGCTTCTTTTTTTGACTTGCGTCGGCGCAGGGTAAGTATTCTATGTCGCGCAAGTAATTGTAGTTCTTTATGAATATTCAAATACATGAGTATTGATTTGAGTCGATTTTGAAGAAAATTAATTATCAATTAATTATTTATTATGTTAAACTATCAACCTCCCTCTCAGCAGCTTCATCTTCATCTGGTGGCACTGAAGCCATTTATTGAGGACTAACTGGTGAAGGACACACCATACAGGTTTTTGACATGAAAATATATTTTTATTTTTTATTTTTATTCACTCATAATGCATTGCTAGTGTGTATAATGGACTGTTTTCAAATAATAGCCAGGTCAAAAATTGATGAAATCACACATGAATGGTGCATACTTCCCCTCCACATAGTATAGCACTGGTAGAATTCTTCCATATTCAATATTTTTTTGAATTGCTATGACTATAAAATGTCCTTACAGGAACTCTTGAGTTTTCAAGTTCAACATAAGGTTGATTTATATATATTTTCATTCACATAATAGCAAGCAACAACAGTGTATATTTTCTTAACAGGAAACGGGTATCTAATATTTTTTGATTATGCATATTTGTCAAAACCTGTGATGTGATATATGAGTCCTATCATCATAATTAAATGTTTTGGGTATTTTATATGACTGTTTTATTTGTTTATTGATATGACACTCCAACTCACAACATCTCTAAGGTTAATTTAGGTCTTTTAGTCTGGGATAACAACTAATATTATTCATTATCTAGTTGCTCAACTTTACAGGTAACATTTCCTCTGAATTAAAAGTTGCAGTGGCGCCCCATCTTTTTTGTTTAACCTTATGATTGCTAGATAACTGAATTTTTGCTATTTTAACCAATTTTGATAACTCGAATTCATAGTGCCTACTGACGAAGAGCTGCCGTTCGCAATTGCACCTATTTTTCATAAAAGTAGGGCTGCGAAGTGTTTAAATTTCTTGACATTAATTGTCAATATTCGATCGAAAACGCTGATAATGCCTGTTGTAGATGTTCTTTTGGCAGATATTTTGCTCTATTTAGACGGAAAAAGCCGACCAGTAGTGGAAGGAGAAGCAGTTCTCCGTGCTAATCATGTGATTTCGTGGGAAGGCAGAAGACTTCAACAAAAGGCTCATTTTTGCACTTTGTCTCCAAATTTCGGCGATGAAATCTTCCCCACATGAAGTAAAATTGAAGTTGGGGCCCAGAGAAACTCCTGTAGAACAATGGATTTGTATTTTTTCATGCAAAGCAGGACAATCTTGGTATTGTAAATATGTTGTAGCTGTTCTTTTGTATATGTCAATTGATTTGCTCGTCATAATTAGTTTGAATTGTTTGAATTATCTCCAGTTCTTCACCCGTTCACTGTTCACTAAACCAATGAAAATGTAATAATGTAAAAAATTAACCAACTCAACCATCATCACTACCAACAGTGCCAACACTTTATGTCATTGACAAGTTTGACTACAGCTACAGCAAGCTGAATGCAATGTAGTCTAGGCACTTGATCCATAGACAATAGTTTTTTTTCCCAGTTTGAAGTTCGTATTATGTAACCAAGATGTCGCCCACTTCGTGAATCTCGCGAATACAAAAAATGTCAAAACAGCAGTGTCAAGTACATTTAGGAACTCTAATATTCATTTCACTCTACTTTGTTCTGCATCTTCTTAGACAAAAAACATGGAGTGTCTCATTTTTGAAATCCGATCATATTTTTCTATCTGTCTCAGCGAGGCACGAGTCCTGTGAGCAGCATCTCCTCCACCTCCTCGGGCCGTCCCCAGCCGATGGTCGTGCAGAATAGTCCGCAGGTGCAGCAACAGCTGTCGCAGCAGATGCAGGCGCTCAGCCTGTACCAGCTGGGAGGCGGCGGCAGCGGCGGCGGTGGTGGTGGTGGGGGAGGTGGCGGCGGGTCGGGGGGCTCGGGGGGGTCGTCGAACGTGGAGCCGCCGCCGCCGTATCCGCTGATGGCGGGGGGCGGGGGAGGCGGGCCGCCCCCGCCGCCGCCCTCGTATTCGGCGTCGATACAGAACAGGCAGAGCCCGACGCAGGATTTCCGGAAGAGTCCGTCTTCGGGGATTTATTCGGGTGAGTTTTGTGGTTTTCCGGTTTTTTTTTCTTGTGACAGAGTTGAGAAAAATTACGATTTTTTTTTTTTCAGTAGTAATGCACCTAGGACATTGATAGTAGACGAGTTAGTTTTATGACAATCGAAAGCTCGTTCCTAGTACCACCAAGGAACCAGCTTGAGAAATTTGGCATAAAATTATGAGGCATTTGTCAATGTCCGAGGGGCATTCGGCGGAAAATGTTTTGAAGTTGTCAAAGTCGATCGTGTTGTCATAGTGATTGATAATTGCACTGAATGCAGTTATCAGTATGATGTTGATATTTTATTGAAAAAATAATTTCAATAAAATATCAATATTATATAGAAAATCGTTAAAAGTATTGTATCGTCTCCCATTTGATACAGCAACCAATCAATTGTATGAAATAACAAATACGTATTCTTTAGATGAAATATATAGAATTGAAACTCTCAAAATATCATATAATATCATAAATAAAAAATTGAAGTCGAATATTATTTTGATACGGAATTCTGAAATTCATAATCATGAAACAAGACAATATAACTTGTTTCATCTTGACGCCGCTAGCTCCCTAATCGGACAAAAAAGATTCACTCATTCAGCCTTAACTGAATTCAATAAACTACCTGATAATATAAAAAATTGCAGAAATATAGGTATATTCAAAAATGACGTAAAAAAACTGATTATTTCTGAGCGGACTGGATAAAATTAATCATGCCATTTTTTTTTCTTTACAAATATTATTCTTTGTTTGCCAATTTACAGTTGTTGATATATTTTGAATAATGCTATGTTTACCTATTGGTTTATAATTATGTACTTCCTTATACCAGAGCCTATTCTGTCTGGAAGTTATTTGTTCAATAAATAAATAAATAAATGAATAAATAATGTTGGTTCGGTTGGTTGTGTTCAATCATATGACCACAGATCAACTGATTTCATTGGATTTCTACTTACAAATAAAGGACCCTGCACTTTCCTTATGGAGAATGGCTTTAGGTTAAATTCCCTGAATTTTTGGTATGATGTAGATTTCGACTCCCTAAGCAAAAGTGTCTATGGGCACAAAGAAATCGGCTGACTAGTACTAGTTTTCGAGATACAGGGTGTCAAAGATGGAAAGTGAAGCTTTCTGTTCAGAATTTTTAACAACTCCGAGAGTTGACAAAACGCCCATGTATTCAATGAATAACATGTCTGAATGATGGTACAATGTCATCTAGATCTCGTATTCATTATAATTTTACGTTTTTGGGCTCTACAACAGGGTGGACAAAGAAAAATCCAATTCGATTAATTTTAAACTAACCAAGGTGAGTTCTTTCATGAGAATCAAAGATCCAATTGAAGTCTAGACTCTAGACGAACTTCCTCAATCTCGAATGGAGTTTACTGATTTTTTTTATATATACTGGGTGGTTCGAAAATAGGGGTACGTCTATCTCTAGTTTTTTGAATCGGAAAGGGGAGAGCATGCCATATACAGTGTGTCCCACTTACCATGCTCTCCATGGGTATCTTTTTAACGGTGAGAGATACGAGGTCGGTTGAATGACACCAAATGTGGAGTTTGTCAAAGCCAACTATAATGTGAAAAAATATTTTGATAAGATCTATTCGTTTTTGTTTTATAAAAAAAAATACGCAAAAAACAGATTTTGATCATTTTCATGTCTCCTGCGTAACTTCTTTATTAATGAAAATATTCAAATAGGAATTTCACATTCTCATGGCAGTTTTTCAAAGTGATTTCGAGGAAAATATGAAATTTATACCAACTCTTCTAGAATTTGAGATATCAGCACCAACTTTAGTTTTTCAAATGTAGGTCTTAGCTCACTATGACTTAGTTACAAATTACTTTTTTTTCTCTTCCAGATGATATGTCGCAGTAATAGTTTTGTGTTGATAACAACGGAGTTATCGTCATTTATACAAGAACAAAAAATTATTTGGAAGCCGTCATCTTGAATTCATAAATTATAACTGAAGAATCATGATCTCCGACCTCAAAAACCCCCACTTACCAATTTTGAATGGAATCGGACCACATCTTGTCCGCCATCTTGGAGCAGTCATTTTTTTAATTTCAACAAAAATATTCCATAACTCCGATTGACTTGGAAATTTGGCAGGTGTTCATATTTTCGGTGACAATACATTATGGAATTTTTGTTGAAATTAAAAAAATGGCTGCTCCAAGATGGCGGACAAGATTTGGTCCGATTCCATTCAAAATTGGTGAGTGGGGGTTTTTGAGGTCGGAGATCATGATTTTTTTTGTTGAAATTTATAAATTCAAGATGGCGGCTTCCAAATAATTTGTTGTTTTTGTATAAATGACGATAACTCCGTTGTTATCAACACAAAACTATTACTGCGACATATCATCTGTAAGAGAAAAAAAAGTTACTTGTAACTAAGTCATACTGAGTGAGCTATGATCTACATTTGAAAAACTAAAGTTGGTGCTGATATCTCAAATTCTAGAAGAGTTGGTATAAATTTCATATCTTTTTCGAAATGACTTCAAAAAACTGCCATGAGAATATGAAATTCCTATTTGAATATTTTCATAAATAAACAAGTTACGGAGGAGACATGAAAATGATCAAAATCTGTTTTTTGCTTATAAAACAAAAACGAATAGATTTTATCAGAATATTTTTTCACATTATAGTTGGCCTTGACAAACTCCACATTTGGTGTCATTTAACCGACCTCGTATCTCTCACCGTTAAAAAGATACCCATGGTGAGCATGCTAAGTGGGACACACTGTATATATTAGGCATTCTTTAATGTTGAGAACGTGGCACACTCATTTCATATATACAGGGTGACATAAAAGAAAGTACATTGCATAGTGCCACACAATAGAGGATACTAAAATATGAGAAAAAAAGTTTCTACGAACATGGGTCCGCAAGGCCTTGGGTTAAAAGATACGGGGGTGTTCATCAAAATTGTTAATTTCTTTATTTTTATTCAAGTTCTTAAATTCATTACTAAACTTATTTGTGTCTACTTTTAATTTCTCTAATCTACAGTTGGGTTCATACTCAGGTACATTTTTACATATACATATAACATGATCTATGATTGTACTTGAATTTGCAGTGACCCTTGTGGTCCCAGCGGGAGATAGGTCATTTTTGAGGCAGAATCCAGATATAGTTGTAGGGCCCCTGAATATTCCTATCAGATCGACAATTATTTTATATCACTAGGATCCCCGAGCCCCGTCCCGATGACGTCGTCTACGGTGCCGCCCCCCTCGCCGCTGCAGGCGTGGGCGGCCCGCCAGACCGTCTCCCAGCCGCCCGTCATCATGCAATCGGTGAAGAGCACGCAGGTGCAGAAGCCGGTGCTGCAGACGGCGATCGCGCCGACCGCGCCGCAAGCGGCCGTGCAGCAGCAAGCCGGCGCCGGTCAACAGCAGGCGGCGCCGACTGCGGGAGCGCCGCCGCCTTCGTATACGGCGTCGTTGCAACAGAAAGGGTGAGATTTCCTTTCGTGTTTTATCATGTGTATATTATACAGGGTGCTTAGTACACCGACGTATACAGGGTGTCCGCTAAAAGGAGGTCAATCCATTAACCATATATTCCTTGCACAAATACAATATGAGTTTCTTGATACCATTTTTCAATTTAGCCTTTCATATTCGATATACAGGGTTTCAAAGTTGGAAATTAAAACCTGTTTTTTTCTAATTACTCGCGTATTTAATAAGATATCAATCTCAAAATTGGGACATTACTTCAGCACAAAGAGTTACATCGTGTGATGAAAACAAAACAAAAAATAACTGTCAAATATTCAAAAAAATTGGGGTAAGTACACACTTACCCCCATAATTTTTTTGTACGTGCGCTAATGACTTTCTATCTATTTTTCAGTGTTCAATTATTTTTGAGTATTTTTTGTGTACTGTTTTCAAGATAATTCGAAAAGTACTGGTTATTGTTTGATGCCTATGCGGCTTACGGTAATCTCATAATGTTCACATAATCCTTTTTATTTCGTCGAAATTGAAAGAGGGCGTATTTTTTTTACGTACGAAAAGGTAAATATGGAAATACCGGGTGCTCAGAGCAGATGTATTAAAATCATTTTTACAAAAAAAAAGTGAGGACACGTGTCGAATAAAATTTTGTTGCCAATCGAACGGCGTGAAATTTTTTTTACGGGGTCAAATAAGAAAAATCGTGTTTTGGAATTTCGGGTAAATAATGATTTTAGGAGGATGGGGAGGGGGTCGATTGACGAGCCCACCCTTTCTGAGGATTATTAAATTGATATTTTTCGAACAGCAAATTTTTTTAAAACTTTTTAAAATCGGTTTGAGCGGTTTTGGGGGTGCGGAATTTTCTAAAAATATTTGCGAACCTCTTCCCCACCGTATGGTGTGTCGGGCGCGAACGAACGGGAAGTAAAATCAGAAAAAAATCAAGAAAAAATATTGTTCGTGAATTTTTGGTGAAATTATGATATTCATGATTTTAATATCTACTTGGTGAGAGAAATAGCAGATCAGGATTGTCTATGTATGTATGAAAGATTTTGTGCATAACCCACATATTATTCAAAGGCTAAGATTTTCTTCAATTAAAAGGGCTCGCATGTGTATTCAAAAAATTCATATCGAGCAATTCATTTAGACGTCTTGAATTTCTATTAATTTTATTTTCGTAAAAATTATTTCAATACCTTCGTTCTCAGCACCCGGTATTTCCATATTTACCATTTCGTACGTAAAAATTTACGCCCTCTTCCAATTTCGACGAAATAAATAGGAGTATGTGAACATTATGAGATTATCGTAAGCCGCATAGGCATCAAACAATAACCATACTTTTCGAATTATCTTAAAAACAAATAATTTTATCGAAATTATACAAGACACAAAAAATACTCAAAGATGATTGAACATTTGAAGAAAAAAAGGAAGGAAGTCATTAGCGCACGTACAAAAAAAATATGAGGGTAAGTGTGTACTTGACCCCCAATATTTTGAATATTTGACAGTTATTTTCTGTTTTGTTTTACTCACACGATGTAACTCCTTGTGCAGAAGCAATGTATCAATTTTGAGATTGATATCTTATCAAATACGCGAGTAATTAGAAAAAAACAGTTTTTAATTTCCAACTTTGACACCCTGTATATCGAATATGAAGTGCTTAAATGAAAAATGGTATTTTGAAACTCATATTGTTTTTGTTCAAGGAATATATGGACACCCTGTATACGGAAGGAGGTGGTAGGTTTATGTGATTTTGAACGAATTTGACCATATACAGTTTGTCCAAGATAAGGTTGCACAGCATGGGGATCTCGGAAACGGTAGGAGATACGAAGTCGGTTAAATGAGGAAAAAGTTGCGCATTCGGAGGCTCATACCAACAGCCTTCGAAAATTTTCAAAATTTGTTTTAGTTTTCCAGTTATATCGAAAAAAGTGAATTTTTGGAATCTCGTATTTTATTTTTTTTCTCCGTTATTGTTAGAGATACAGGAAAACTGAAAATACATTTTTATAGCAACTTTTGACGACGTTTAACGTGGTGATGCCGATTTTTCTATGCGACGTTTCGTATTCGTAGAACCATCATCAACTTTTGTTTTTTAAATACGGCCCCTGATAATTCTTGTACAGATTCTGAAAGTTTTTTTTATTCTGAATTCAACCATGTATTATACAAGGTGGTTTGAATGTATTTCGAACTATTTTTGGCCATCAATGTTTTTTTCGAAATTCCAAAGGAAAAATGCCATCAGTTCCACTTATTTTGAAGGAAAATTAGCCAACAAACTAATACCTCATCAACTAGTTCCGATTGATAGACTTATAGGAATAATTAGTTTGAAAAATTTAATTATGACAAGCTCCTTCAGATTAAAATATGAATACAATTCGCTGCATTGAATTATTTAGTGGATTTTTTTTTTCACTTTTCAGTATTGAATAACTAGTCCATCAATGTTTGACACTGAATAATCAGGAATAAGTGAAACTGATGGCATTTTTCCTTTGGAATTTCGAAAAAAACTTTGAGCTTTTTGTATTTATTCACACTGCACTTGCTTTGTGCTTATGCCCTCTGTGAATCACTATATAAATAATACACAAAATCATCTCCAACTAAGCTTGTTAATGCCGTCCAGATACACGAACGGCACGAAACCGGCCGCTCCGCTGCCTCCCTCGACCGCCCCCAGTCCCGCCCCCCAACCCGCCGCCGTCGCCGTCCCCACCACCGAACCGCCCAGCTACGCCAGCACCATGCAGGCGAAAGCGAAGGCGCAACGGGCCCTACCGCCGCCGCCTCCCTACTCCGACGATGCGCACGTGCACACCGTCTACAGCACGATGGACGGGCCGACGAGAGGCGGGGCAGGCGGTCATCCGCCCCTCCAAAGGAAGTACTCGCCGGTGGTCAACAGCAATAGTAATAATAATGACGGGCGGTCGGATAGTCCGCATTCGACGGGGAGCGGGGATAGTAGGACGCAGTACGGGGACGGGGTGCCGCCGCTGCCTCCGACCGGTAAGTGTATATATATATATACAGTGTGTCCCACTTACCATGCTCACCATGGGTATCTTTTTAACGGTGAGAGATACGAGGTCGGTTAAATGACACCAAATGTGGAGTTTGTCAAGGCCAACTATAATGTGAAAAAACAGATTTTGATCATTTTCATGTCTCCTCCGTGACTTCTTTATTTATGAAAATATTCAAATAGGAATTTCACATCCTCATGGCAGTTTTTCAAAGTGATTTCGAAAAAAATATGAAATTTATACCAACTCTTCTAGAATTTGAGATATCAGCACCAACTTTAGTTTTTCAAATGTAGGTCATAGCTCACTATGAATTAGTTACAACTAACTTTTTTTTTTTTCAACAAAAATTCCATAATGTATTGTCACCGAAAATATGAACACCTGCCAAATTTCAAGTTAATCGGAGTTATGGAATTTTCGCTGAAATTAAAAAAAAATGGCTGCTCCAAGATGGCGGACAAGATTTGAGGTCCGATTACATTCAAAACTAGTAAGTGGGGGTTTTTGAGGTCGGAGATCATGATTTTTTTGTTGAAATTTATAAATTCAAGATGGCGGCTTCCAAATAATTTTTTGTTTTTGTATAAATGACGATAACTCCGTTGTTATCAACACAAAACTATTACTGCGACATATCATCTGTGAGAGAAAAAAAAGTTATTTGTAACTAAGTCATAGTGAGCTATGACCTACATTTGAAAAACTAAAGTTGGTGCTGATATCTCAAATTCTAGAAGAGTTGGTATAAATTTCATATTTTTTTCGAAATCACTTCGAAAAACTGCCATGAGAATGTGAAATTCCTATTTGAATATTTTCATAAACAAAGAAGTTACGGAGGAGACATGAAAATGATCAAAATCTGTTTTTTGCGTATAAATCAAAAACGAATAGATTTTATCAAAATATTTTCTCACATTATAGTTGGCCTTGACAAACTCCACATTTGGTGTCATTTAACCGACCTCGTATCTCTCACCGTTAAAAAGATACCCATGGTGAGCATGGTAAGTGGGACACACTGTATATATCATTATATAGTTGAAAAACTGGTAATTTTGCACTTTTCATGCGATGTTCTTTTTTCGAATTTTTTTTTGTACTTACGTATTTTTGTCTGAAAAACACGAATTTGATAGTGAAAATGTGAACAAACCATTATTTATTGAGATATTCCACTATGAAGTTTCACCTTCTTTTCCGCCTGTCTTCTGGATCGCATTTAGAACAATTTGCCCTTCTCTTTCCATCATTGGACAATTTATATATATATCACACAATGTTAGACACATTTTTTTTATTGTATGATTCAACTAGAAATATGATTTTTTTGTGATTTATCCATTGTTGAAAATTCCTGAAAATTGCAAAAATTGCAGAAATTCCTGAAAATTGCAGAAATTGCAGAAATTGCAGAAATAGCAAAAATTGCAAAAATTCCAGAAGAAGAGAAAAATTTCTGAAAATGGCAAAAATTCCTGAAAATTGCAAGAATCGCAAATATTCCTGAAAATAGTAAAATTGCAATAATCGCAAAGATTCCTGAAAATTACAAAAATCGCAAAAATGCCTGAAAATTGCAAGAATCGCAAAAATGCCTGAAAATTGTAAAAGTTGAAAAAATTCCTGAAAATTAGAAAAATTTCTGAAAATTGCAGAAATCGAAAAAATTCCTGAAAACTGTAAAAATTACAAAAATCGCAATAATTCCTGAAAATTGTAAAATTGCAAAAATTCCTGAAAATTGCAAAAACTGCAAAAATTCCTGAAAATTGCAAAAATCGCAAAAATTCCTGAAAATTGCAAAAATTGCAAAAATTGCAAAAATTCCTGAAAATTGTCAAAATCGCAAAAATTCCTGAAAATTGCAAAAATCGCAAAAATTCCTGAAAATTGCAATAATTCCTGAAAATTGTAAAAATCGCAAAAATTTCTGGAAATTGCAAAAATTCCTGATAATTGAAAAAATCGCAAAAATGCCTGAAAATTGCAAAAATTGCAAAAATTCCTGAAAATTGCAAAAATCGTAAAAATGCCTGAAAATTGCAAAAATTGCAAAAATTCCTGAAAATTGCAAAAATCGCAAAAATGTCTGAAAAATGCAAAAATTCCTGAAAATTGCAAAAATCGCTAAAATTCCTGAAAATTGCAAAAATTGCAAAAATTCCTGAAAATTGCAAAAATCGCAAAAATTCCTGAAAATTGCTAAAATTGCAAAAATTCCTGAAAATTGTCAAAATCGCAAAAATTCCTGAAAATTGCAAAAATCGCAAAAATTCCTGAAAATTGCAATAATTCCTGAAAATTGTAAAAATCGCAAAAATTTCTGGAAATTGCAAAAATTCCTGATAATTGAAAAAATCGCAAAAATGCCTGAAAATTGCAAAAATTGCAAAAATTCCTGAAAATTGCAAAAATCGTAAAAATGCCTGAAAATTGCAAAAATTGCAAAAATTCCTGAAAATTGCAAAAATCGCAAAAATGTCTGAAAAATGCAAAAATTCCTGAAAATTGCAAAAATCGCTAAAATTCCTGAAAATTGCAAAAATTGCAAAAATTCCTGAAAATTGCAAAAATCGCAAAAATTCCTGAAAATTGCTAAAATTGCAAAAATTCCTGAAAATTGCAAAAATTGCAAAAATTCCTGAAAATTGCAAAAATCGCAAAAATTCCTGAAAATTGCAAAAATTCCTGAAAATTGTAAATTCGCAAAAATTCCTGAAAATTACAAAAATTGCAAAAATTCCTGAAAATTGCAAAAATTTCTGAAAATTGCAAAAATCGCAAAAATTCCTGAAAATTGCAAAAATTGCAAAAATTCCTGAAAATTGCAAAAATTCCTGAAAATTGCAAAAATCGCAAAAATTCCTGAAAATTGCAAAAATTGCAAAAATTCCTGAAAATTGCAAAAATTCCTGAAAATTGCAAAAATTCCTGAAAATTGCAAAAAATCCTGAAAATTGCAAAAATTCCTGAAAATTGTAAAAATCGCAAAAATTCCTGAAAATTGCAAAAATTGCAAAAATTGCAAAAATTCCTGAAAATTGCAAAAATCGCAAAAATTCCTGAAAATTGCAAAAATTGCAAAAATTCCTGAAAATTGCAAAAATTGCAAAAATTCCTGAAAATTGCAAAAATCGCAAAAATTCCTGAAAATTGCAAAAATTCCTGAAAATTGCAAAAATTCCTGAAAATTGTAAAAATTGCAAAAATTCCTGAAAATTGCAAAAATTGCAAAAATTCCTGAAAATTGCTAAAATTGCAAAAATTCCTGAAAATTGCAAAAATTGCAAAAATTCCTAAAAATTGCAAAAATTCCCTGAAAATTGCAAAAATTGCAAAAATTCCTGAAAATTGCAAAAATCGCAAAAATTCCTGAAAATTGTAAAAATCGCAAAAATTCCTGAAAATCACAAAAATTGCAAAATTCCTGAAAATTGCAAAAATTCATGAAAATTGCAAAAATTCCTGAAAATTGCAAAAATTCCTGAAAATTGCAAAAATCGCAAAAATTCCTGAAAATTACTAAAATTGCAAAAATTCCTAAATATTGCAAAAATTGCAAAAATTCCTGAAAATTGTAAAGATTGCAAAAATTCCTGAAAATTGCAAAAATTACAAAATTCCTGAAAATTGTAAAAATTCCTGAAAATTGCAAAAATTGCAAAAATTCCTGAAAATTGTAAAAATCGCAAAAATTCCTGAAAATTGCAAAAATTGCAAAAATTCCTGAAAATTGCAAAAATCGCAAAAATTCCTGAAAATTGCAAAAATTGCAAAAATTCATGAAAATTGCTAAAATTGCAAAAATTCCTGAAAATTGCAAAAATTGCAAAAATTCCTGAAAATTGCAAAAATTGCAAAAATTCCTGAAAATTGCAAAAATCGCAAAAATTCCTGAAAATTGTAAAAATCGCAAAAATTCCTGAAAATCACAAAAATTGCAAAATTCCTGAAAATTGCAAAAATTCCTGAAAATTGCAAAAATCGCAAAATTCCTGAAAATTGCAAAAATTCCTGAAAATTGCAAAAATTCCTGAAAATTGTAAAAATTCCTGAAAATTGCAAAAATTCCTGAGAATTGCAAAAATCGTAAAAATTCCTGAAAATTACTAAAATTGCAAAAATTCCTGAAAATTGCAAAAATTGCAAAAATTCCTGGAAAGTGCAAAAATTGCAAACATTTCTGAAAATTGCAAAATTTGCAAAAATTCCTGATAATTGAAAAAATCGTAAAAATGCCTGAAAATTGCAAAAATCACAAAAATGACTGAAAATTGCAGAAATAGCCAAATTTGCTAAAATTCCTGAAAATTGCAAAAATTGCAAAAATTCCTGAAAATTGCAAAAATCGCAAAAATTCCTGAAAATTGCAGAAATCGCAAAAATTCCTGAAAATTGCAAAAATTGCAAAAATTCCTGAAAATTGCAAAAATTCCTGAAAATTGTAGAAATTGCAAAAATTCCTGAAAATTGCAAAAATTCCTGAAAATTGTAAAAATCGCAAAAATTCCTGAAAATTACAAAAATGGCAAAAATTCCTGAAAATTGCAAGAATTGCAAAGATTCCTGAAAAATGTGAAAATTGCAAAAATTCCTGAAAATTGTAAAAATCGCAAAAATTCCTGAAAATTACAAAAATTGCAAAAATTCCTGAAAATTGCAAAAATTGCAAAAATTCCTGAAAATTGTAAAAATCGCAAAAATTCCTGAAAATTACAAAAATTGCAAAAATTCCTGAAAATTGCAAAAATCGCAAAAGTTCCTGAAAATATCAAAAATTCCTGAAAATTGTAAAAATCGCAAATATTCCTGAAAATTGCAAAAATTCCTGAAAATTGCAAAAATCGCAAAAATTCTTGAAAATTGCAAAAATTTCTGAAAATTGCAAAAATCGCAAAAATTCCTGAAAATTACAAAAATTGCAAAAATTCCTGAAAATTGCAAAAATTGCAAAAATTCCTGAAAATTGCAAAAATC